AGGAGACATGAAAAACCTTGGGAATACGAAAGGTCGTGGGTAAATCAAGACGATAAGCAACAGGGTTAACACAGGCTACCACCTTATAAGGACCAATAAACTTAAGTGGCAGTTTCATAGAATGTACATTAAGGCAGATATGTTTCGTGCTTAACCAGACCTTATCACCCGGTTGAAATACATTAGCAGCACATCTACGCACATCAGCATGTTTTTTTATCAAGGTTGGATTTCTTAGAGAGGAGATGTTGAGCTTGCTCCCAGTTCTTCTTTAGGTTTTCAAGGCATTCCCTGTGATAAAAAGGCAGATGGGAGAACAACTGGATGAAAACCATAATTTAAAAAGAATGGGCTGTATTAAGTAGTATCGGAAACGAAGCTGTTTTGTGCAAACTCAGCCCAAGGAAGCAAGCCAACCCAGTCATTCTGATGAGCAGATACAAAACATTGTAGGTATTGCTCGATCTTCTGATTAGTACATTCTGCTGCCCCATTAGATTGTGGATGATAGATAAGAAAAACTAAGAGTTATACCCAATTGTTTACATAAAGTCTTCCAAAATTTAGAGATAAACTGCGAACCCCTGTCAGATATAATTTCTCCAGGTATTGCATGGATCCAGAATATTTCCCTGGCAAAGATCTTCGCCAATTCTGGTGAAGTGGGTAACTTCACCAGAGGTACAAAATGTGCTATTTTGGTGAACCTGTTAATAACAGTCAAGATAATGGTTTTCTTTTCGGAAGTAGGTTAGTCGACAATGTCCATGGCTATACTGGCCCAGGGTTGGTTAGGAATATCTAAAGGTTGAAGCAGACCACATGGAAGAGCAGTAGACAGTTTGGTACTCGCACAAACAGTACAAGCTGTAACATAATCTTTACTATCTTTTTTCAATGAAGGCCACCAGAATTCTTTGGCAATTAGGGAATACATCTTGCAAATACCTGGATGACCTGCGATTTTATTGTCATGAAAGAGGACGAGTATCTCATTCTGGTATTCAAAAGGAACATATAGACATCCTTCTGGGACAACCCCAGGAGCCTGAGACTGTATAGCAACAATATCCATCACCAGTGGAGACTGTACCTTGATACTAGTATTAGCTATGATGTGTTGTTTGGGTACCACAGAAGACACTTCAAAAGTGGATTTGACAAGAGGTTCATATTGACGGGACAATGCATCAGGCTTTAGAAGTCCTCGAACTAGGTCTATACGTTAACACAAAGTTAAATCTTGTTAAAAAAAAAGGGACCATCGTGCTTGCCTAGCAGAAAGACGTTTGGCCTCTCCAATATAGGAGAGGTTTTTATGATCTGTTAGGATAGTCACTGGAAGTAATGTACCTTCTAATAAGTGTCGCCATTCTTTTAAGGCTAGAATTATAGCAAGGAGTTCTCTGTCTCCTATATCGTAATGTCTTTCTGCATCTGATAATTTTCTAGAATATAACCTGCAACGGTGTAGTGGTAGGTCAGGACTTGGTCGTTGTGACAACACAACTCCTACACCAGTCTCTGATGCATCTACCTCTAACAAAAAAGGGAGACTAGGATGTACTAAAACAGGGGCAGACACAAAAGAAGTTTTGAGTGACTCAAAAGCATTTAACGCGTTAGAATCCCATTTCCTTGGATTCATACCTTTTTTGTCATGTTCGTTATAGGAGCGACTACAGACAAAAAATCCTTCATGAAGCATCTGTAATAGTTAGCAAATCCTATAAATATTTGAATAGCCTTTAACCCATTAGGTAGAGGCCATTGAAGTATGGAATCCAATTTCTTGAGATCCATAGCAAACCCTTTTCCTGAAATCACATATCTAAGAAACCTGATTTGGTGTTGGTCAAAAAGGCATTTTTCAAGTTTACAGTACAATCCGTTTTGTAACAATTTAGACAATACCTTTTTTTTTTATTTTTTTTTTTTTATTCTTTATTTATTCCAAGATGAGACATCACAAGCAGTGAATATACAGCAACATAAGATTATGCATAAACAAGCATGTACACTGTGATCATGGCATTTTTACATTCGCATGATGGGTGAACAGTCAAGGTCGCACATATCCCGTAACTAGAGACCACTGATTGAGTTTACATCTCTAAGTTTCAAGGTAGTTCTCATCTCTATGTATGGTTAGATATCCCGTCTGGTTTTAAATAGTAGATAAAACATGTAACAGATAACATATGATATATGACGACCGCACACGTGTTTGCAAAAGCAAACATACAAAAAAAAAGGGGAAAGAAAAACCACTAAGAATAATATACGAGCATACGTTTGCTCCCATGTCGCTATTGTCTCGCACGTGTATTCCCACTATGTACGGTCGGACGATAAGATCAAGGAATTAAGAGATGAAAGAAAAGGGAAAATTAGAGGTAGTGCCTCGAAAGTCCGAGGTCACAGAGAAGGGGGTAGAGGGAGGTGGGGGGTAGGGGGGGATGTCCGAGGATAGCCACCCGATAAAAAGACGTCTTAGGGAATGGTCTTATAGGATTGTTCCTGCAAGGAGACGCACACTGAAGATAATGCAGCAGCCTCCCATATTTCCTGCCATTCTATGCTTTTCAAAACCTCATTGAGATCTGCTTCCCACTGATCTATATATGTGATATCTCCCCATTCTAGCGTGTGAGTGCTCAGATGAGAATATAAACATGAAATTAAGCCACTTGGGAATTGTTCCCTCTTGCACATCCTTTCGAAAAACGTTAACTGCGTCAACGCAGCCGTCTTGATCCGGGAGTCTCTGGCATAATCCCTAAGCTGTAGATACCGGAAGTAGTTGAAGGGTCTTAATGGGGCCCTGCTTGTCAATTCTTCAAATGTTATAAATGAGCCGTTTTCAAACAGTTCACACAGTCTCTGCAGTCCCGCGTTCTCAATGCCCTTGAAATCCCGGGGACTCATGCCTGGAAGAAATGCTTTGTTTCTTAAGAATGGGGTCATGGGCGACGGGTCGGAAGTCAGGCCGTATTTAAGGGCGGTGGCATCCCAAATTTTAAGGGAGTTGCGTATCGCTGGGCATATAACTTGATCTATTGTTCTATGTTCTTTAGGGGTCCACATGAGGAACTGGGGCATGTCTGGGCCTATCAGGGCAGATTCCAGATCCACCCATCTCCTATCTTCTGGGCGAGAGTGCCATAGTGCAAATTGGGCTAATTGAGCTGATAGCTCAACCCAAGGTATTGCAAATGGGGTATGTCCAGTCTTTTTTAGTAGCAATTTGGTCACAAACACTGGCCAAAGTTAGTGTTAGTATTTGTGTGTGAAAAATGCAAAAAACGCCAATTTTGGCCAGTGTTTGTGACTAAGTAGCTACTAAAAAAGACTGGACATACCCCGTTTGCAATACCTTGGGTTGTCTACTATTGCAAATGGTATGCCATCATAGAGGTAATTTTCATTCTTGGGCTACCATAGGGTCTCAAAGGCAACGTAACCAATCTGGCGAATTTTAATGTGAAAAAAATGAAACACAAGCCTTATATTTGATGCTGTAACTTTTGAAAACACCATAAAACCTGTACATGAGGAGTACTGTTGTACTCGGGAGACTTCGCTGAACACAAATATTTGCGTTTGAAAACAGTAAAAAGTATCGCAGCAATAATATCGTCCGTGTAAGTGCTGTTTGTGCGTGAAAAATGCAAAAAACATCACTTTTACTGGCGATATCGTCGTTGTAATACATTTTACTGTTTTGAAACACTAATATTTGTGTTCAGCGAAGTCTCCCGAGTAGAACAGTACCCCCCATGTACAGGTTTTATGGTGTCTTGGAAAGTTATAGGGTTAAATATAGTGCTAGCAAATTAAATTCCCTTTACTTTTGGCATGGGTTGTCAGGCAGGTCCCGCTAATTGTATTTAAAGATACCTAATTACGTAAAAATATTATATAAATATATATGTAGAATTAATATATGTATATATATATATATATATACGTATGTGAATATATATGTATATATATATAATTTTTTAAAAATATTTTTATTTATATATAGGTATATATATATATATAGTGATATATACGTGTATATTTATGTATATAGGTATTATTTCTTTCTACGTGTATTTTGATATAAATATATATATATTAATATCACAATACAGTTAGAACGAAATAACACACATCTATATATTTTTTAATTATTTTTTTAAAAATAATTTTTATTTTATTTTTTAACGTATTTACATATTTAATTTTTTTATATTATATATAAATATATATATAACAATAATTTTATATATATATATATATATATAATTAATCAGTACTATTATATTAATAGTAACATACACCTAGACAGTATATGTGTGTGTATGTGTATGTGTATATATATACTTAGATCATATATATATAATATATATATATGATCTAAGTATATATTATTTTTTTTTACACTTATTTCACTTTTTTTTTTTTTATAATTTTTTATTTTTGTAGTGCACAGAAAACATTACAAGCAGGCATGAGGTGCCCCGAGAGCAATCCTCAAGCTTTTTCTCGCAAAACATGCGGGACATTTGCTTAAAAGGCACATTTTTATATTATTGTTAGCTTATACATATCAGTTTGTGAGAGTAGTGTTACACTTTAATTAGGCTAGAACAGTGTTTAAACTAGTCTGTGTGCATCACAGGTTATACATGTTATATATGAAAGGAGAAGAAAAAACAGACGTAGGTGTTAAACATGCAAGTTGCCAGGCAGGCAGGTATATCATCTTTATGTTAAGAGGTGACAGGTTAACTGGGAGCATGGCCCATGCGTACAGTAATGCATAGTGCAAGTGTGGGATGAATATTATGAGTGCAAAACCAATTAAAATGGGTGAGCGGTGAATGTTACTTTAAAGTCCTCTGTCGGTGGAAAGTCTCTACCCAAGAGGTGCCAATGTGGTATGGACAGCGTCTATTGTATTAGAGGCTTTGGGCTTATATCTCTGTGTGTCCCGGTCTGGGAGTGCTCGGTCAGCCGATACCCAGCGCATTGAAGGGTGTTGGGATCGTTTGAAAGTCCTGCTGAGGCTCTGTCATGAGCAGCGCTGTGTGTTCCAATTGCTGTCTCATCTGCTCGTCACCGCAGGAACCGGCATGGACGTTGCGGGTAAGTGTATTCTCCGTTTGGTGCTTTGGAGCTCTCCATGGCGTCGGGTAGGATCGGAGCTGTGAGTGAAGCTTGCTTGTTATTGGTTGCTGTTCGGGTCTCCGCTTCATGCAGGGTCTGGGGTGAGCTTGTGGGCCAATTCGGGCCAGGGTCACAGTGTGGCTTGATCTTGCCTGTTTGTGTTTAAGCAGGTGGGATCTCCGTCTTTGGCGCCAACTTTTAGGTCCCATCAGGCGGGGGCCTATGCGGTTGCGGTGGGTATGTGCGGGTCTTTTGATGGGTTTACACACTTTAGTGTGTCGCTCCTTGCTCGCTATTCGTACCCAGAAGGCGTCAAGTATGGCTTCGAGTTTGTCCATAATGCTGTGCTTGTCCGTGTGGCAGTTTTGAATGCACGTGGCGTCCGCCATTGTAAGTGCCCGTGTAGCATGGGGCTGCCCTGTATGTTCTGCTGTCAGCTTGCGCTTAAGCCCTGCTGCCTGGAAGAATTGGACCGGGATCACCCCCGCCGGTCCTGAGGGGGGGGGAGCGGGTAATCGGAGTCTCCGGGCCCCGGGCGCTGAGGCGAGGGGAGCGGCCGTCTTCCCCCTGCCCCGTCCTTGCCGCATTGAGTTCTCGCTTGCGGGAAACACTCGAGTCCGGTATCGGACGATTCACCAGGGCGCCCCCAGCATGGGTAGCACACCCCGGCTTCAATTCAGGCATGAGAGCTGCTAGTATTTCCCTATAAACAGCCTGTGTGATGGGAGCTCATCCACCATGCGACTGCACTGCTTGCAGGTCAGGCCCCGCCCCCCCATTTAACATTTTTTAATTTTATTTAATTTTATTTTCAGCCAGCAGGGGGACCACCTGTCATTACAGGCAGCCCCCCTGCTGGCAATACAGAAGGCAGCTATCCCGGCCATGTGATTGCAAGGACCTCACTCTCACATGGCCGGGGGGCTGCCAGGGGGTTGAAAGTGCTGCGGGGGCTCCCTGGGAGTCCCCCCAACCGCGATCGCCGGCGACCGGGTAAGTCTAGAAAGACCGGAGGGCGTACTATTACGCCCGGAGGCGTTTAGAGCCGCCTTAAATAGGACGTAATAGTACGCCCTCCGGTCTTAAGGGGTTAAAGACACATAACTGTTTGTTATTGTTGTGGAGCTCTGTTATACACTCAGCCACACCAACAATATGAGGCTCCTAGAAATGAGGGACAGAGGGATTTGGGCTCAGAATAGGGACTAACCGTCCTAAACAGGGACACTTGGCAGGTATGATATCATATTAGACATGGGCAGAGATTTAGCCTCAGCACCCTGGCAGCCATACTGTGTGGACTTGGTTTCACCATGACCTACAGGCATAGGCAACCTTCTGCACTCCAGATGTTTTGGACTACACCTCCCATGATGCTCTGTCAGCATTATGGATGTAAGGGCATTATGGGGGATGTAGTCCACAACATCTGCAGTGCCAAAGGTTGCCTATCCCTGAACTATCAATGAAAGTGAAGTGTAATAAAGAGGGAGGGTTAAGGACTGAGCAAAGGGTGGCCCAACATTACATAATTGTAAAAAGTTTTCAATTGATAATTTGGCATCAAACCCCCTCCTCCCCTTCTTTTATAGGCTGAGGCCACGCCCACTGCAATATGGCTGTCCTCCATTAGCGGCTTCATGCTTTGAGGTCCAGCTTTGCCCACATCTAATATGGCTGCTGGTGGCGTCCACCGCCAACATGGCTGCCCAGTGCTGGAATGACGCACTGCTGCCCACAGTCAATATGGCGGCGGCGGCGCACGGCTGGACATTGAGGCCTGATCGAAGGGAGTCGGAGGAGCCGTGAGGAGAGGGTGCGCCTCGCGGAGTCACCTGACCGGCGTGTTGGTACCCGTATACAATAAAACAGGACGCCATATTGGGTTTATTATCTATCCGGGATCGAGGAGGCCGAGAGACGGCGAGAGCAAGGTGAGCGGCTGCCGGCTGTGTAATATATATATATATATATATATATATATATATATATATATAATAATAATAATAATAATAATAATAATAAATATGGCTGTGTACTATATATAATAATTATAATTAATATGGCTGTGTAATATATATATATAATAATAAATATGGCTGTGTAATAATAATAATATGGCTGTGTAATATATATATATATATATATATAATATTAATAATAAATATGGCTGTGTACTATATATATATATAAACAATAATATGGCTGTGTGTATACATTATTATAATAATAATATGGCTGTGTAATATATATATATATATATAATTATTATTATTATTATTATTATTATTATTATTATTATTATTATTATTAAAAATATGGCTGTGTATACAAAATAATAAAAAATATGGCTGTGTAAATAATAATAAAAAATAATTATTATTAATACACAGCCATATTTATTATAATTGCTGTGTGTATACATTACTGAGAGACCATGACCAGGCTGTGTAATATATAATAATAATAATTAATAATACGGCTGTGTAATATATTACTGATAGACAATGTCCAGGCTGTGTAATATATTATAATAACTATCTCTCTCCAGTAGTAATAATTAATATAAATATATATATATCTCTCTCTCTCCCTGTGTCAGCATTAGGGGCCTTGCATGGCCTGTGTGTCAGACCTTCGTTCAGGGAGCTGTGCTGTTTATTAAGGAACGCTTTGGAGACATTATGTCAGTGTAGCCTCTGGCACGGCAGCTGATGGTGTACTCCTGCTCTTGTTTATGTTGATGGGAGTAGGAGTCCTCCAGGGTTGAGGAGTAGGGTGTGGTAGGAGTCTAGCAGTTTAAGAGGAAGAAAGTGTGGGGAGTGTTTTTTTTTTTTTTTCCAGCTAGTGGGTAGGATGACTGATGGGAGTGGGAGTCCTGCGGGGGCCACTGGTTAGGCTGACTGGTGGGAGTGCTGCGGGGGCCACTGGTTAGGCTGACTGGTGGGAGTGCTGCGGGGGCCACTGGTTAGGCTGACTGGTGGGAGTGCTGCGGGGGCCACTGGTTAGGCTGACTGGTGGGAGTGCTGCGGGGGCCACTGGTTAGGCTGACTGGTGGGAGTCCTGCGGGGGCCACTGGTTAGGCTGACTGGTGGGAGTGCTGCGGGGGCCACTGGTTAGGCTGACTGGTGGGAGTGCTGCGGGGGCCACTGGTTAGGCTGACTGGTGGGAGTCCTGCGGGTAGGTTGGCCGGTGGGAATAGGTGTAATGGGAGTGGGAGGCCGTTTTGTACTGGATTGTTTGTATTTTAATATTGGCACTTATGTAGCGGCAACAGATTCTGTAATGCTTTACAATATTATAAGAGGGAGGGATTTAACTATAAATAGGACAATCACAAAAAACTTGCAGGAACGATAGGTTGAACTAGGTAGTAGATATGCTGAGTGTTGTAGTCCCTCAGGGAGGGGGTGAGCGTGCACTTTGAGTTTAGGCTTGTTTTCTGTCTGAGAGGATTCAGGCAAGGAAGAGCTCAAATATCCAAAGGGGAAAATAACACTGCCCCTGCCTGGTACTGGGCCGAGTTATGCGCTTGCTCACACTGCAAACTGTTTATATTTAACTCAACGCCCCATTCCTAGCAATCCTGACACCGTTCTCTATCTGGGACGATAAAACGATCTGTTCTGAAACCCTCAGCTAGGTAATGTCCTACTTGCTGTGTTGTGAAGAAAGATAACCATTTTTAACACCTTGAAACATTTTATATTTTTTTTCTTCCCCAACACATGTCTTTATTTGGTCTTTGGCTGTGGTTTAAGTAGGCTATGTAACGCAAATGCATTTATTTTTATATAAGTTTTCCTTGCGCTTCCTGTGGGAATGTGTACGGCTGTGTGTGAGCTAATGACTGTTTTAGAAGCAGGGGTGTCCTTTTTCACACTGACCATATATTTGGCTTTAGAGCATTAATCATGAGTAGTGGGGTATCGAATTACATGCGAACACTACAAAAAAAATCTTGGATGCCCTTCAACACTAAAGCTTTGTTTCTTATTTTTCAACTTGCAGTGTTAATGACATTTCCCTAACCTCCCATTATGAATGAGTTTAATGTACAGTCTATGGGACAGCAAGGTCTAAGCCCAATGTATGTTGTATGACATGCTCTCCAATGTTTTTGTCAGTGTAAGATTTCTCTGAATTGCTATATCAAATATGAATTAACACCCAAGCATATGTTCATTCCTTAGCTCTTCCTGAACGTCTCTGGTGCTTGTTTTAAATTGCGTCTTATGAAATATTATGTAAGTTTTATTGGGTGAGTGGTGCACGACTAATCAGGGGTTCTTAAGCAGTGTTTTGGAATTGAACCTTTTTACTATATTTTTTATTTTTTTTTGGTTAATACTTTGTCAAACCCAAACATACCCAAAACAAGATATTTACAATTGAAGTGGCTAAAACACTTTGATAGACATTGCTCTCACTTTTGCATTCTAAAACAAGTTTGCGAAGTGTTCCTTCCTCTTCACTGACGGGCTTTCTTCAGACAATCCAAATACCATATAAGTCGAGACCCCTAATCTTACCCCAAAAATCTGGGAAAACTTATTGACTCGAGTATAAGACTAGGGTGGAAAATGCAACAGCTATTTGTAAATTTCTAAATAAAATTAGATCCCCCAAAAATTATATTGATTGAATATTTATTTACAGTTTGTATATAATGAATGCAGTGTGTGAGATGCAGAGCCTTGGTGGGTATCATTAGTATTAGTAATCCCTGCTTGTTAGCTGGCCAGGGAGGGGGGCTCTCATTCCCTGGTGGTCCAGTGGATGGGCTGTGTAGGAGGGGGTCTGGCAGCGAGCTGTAACTTACCTTTCCTGCAGCTCCTCTCAGCTCCCTTCTCCTGCATTCCGGTCAGTTCCCACTGTAAGTCTCGCGGTGTGACTGCTGCACAGAGCGTTGCCACGGGTGACCCCGCGGCTCTCTCGAGACTAACAGGAGAGGTAAGTTACAGCTCTCTGCCTGCCCCAACAGGACCGCCGGGCTCATTACAATGTAAGTTGCCATAATACAGACAATGACTCGAGTATAAGTCGAGTGGGGGTTTTTCAGCACAAAAAATGTCCCGAAAAACTTGACTTGTACTCTAGTGTATATACGGTAGTAACATTATGATGTGGCCAACGTCTTGCGAGTGATAACCTCATATAACACTTCCCTGCAATTCAATCTCTAGGTTTTTTTTTTTTTTACTGTAGTCTGAGGTAGCGTGCGTGCTCTGTTGCCAAAATGTCATGCACGTCTGGCTTTAAAAAATTAAAGTACTCATTTTCTTATTTAAAGAAAATAAAATACTTAAAAAAAAAATGACTTTAAATTTTTTTTTTTTTTTTTAAATTGCTATTGCCTCATGCATAGGATGTATGCAAAAACCTAATTGGGGCCTGCTTCCCCATCCGGTGCAATCTAAATAGTAAATCTAAAGTGTTCAGTTACATAAAGTCAAAACTGTGGACGTTACAAACATTTGAGTTTTCAGAACACTTAAAATATTTTTTTTTTTTTTATGAATACTTCAAACACTTAAAATGCTTCAGCTTGCTGAAGTGCTTTAGGGCTAAACTGCTTGTGCCTGTAGGCTTATTTTACTAAATTGTTCATTGCAAGAGAAATCTGCATTCTTTAACCCATTAAGGACACATGATGTGTGACATGTCATGATTCCCTTTTAATCCAGAAGTTTGGTTCTTAAGGACTCATTAGTGACAACTTCCTGACTGTCACAGTTGGGAGGGTTTCCTGCATTGATCCTGGTGCTAGATATTCGTACACTCTTCAGTGAGCTGTAAAGTGTGTGTGAATTTGTCCATAAGGCTTCTTGTCCAGGAAAAAGCTCACCGTATCTATAGACACTAGTTTTTGCGCTAATGTAATAACTTTGTGAACCTCTCCTCCAAAATTACAAACTATTATTATACATAATTTTTTTTTTTTTTTTTTTAAATCTATTAATTTGTTCCTTTTTACGCAGGAAGGTGGCTATTTCCTGTCTAGCAGACTTCATTGTCAGATTACATCACTTTAAACACATGACTCAGGAAGTCTTGCCTGTGGAGTGTTTGCCTGTGCACCAGGCCGTGTTAGTGTTGCACACAACACGGCATCAGGTACTCGGTAAGCCAACTGGGTGAGCACTAGGTATCATGTATAACTTCTTGCTTGGTCAGATCACAGCAGTGACTGGGACTGAATTAGTACAGCTATTCTTTCCTCGAACTTTTGATGAATTTAACTGACATTCTGAAGGGTACCAGACCAGTACAGATTTTTAACATTACTGTGGGTGCCTACCTTCTGGGGATTGATGTTTGATGTGCTCCAGTTGCATTCACTTGGCTGCAGTTTGATTGGTGGAGTTTAGATGTACCTCCATTTAAATGTCCTTCAATATGAACTATTATCTTGGTATCTATAGTTATATAAAAGTCATATTTAAAGATGTGTCTCTATCAAAAAGGTTAAAGTAGGAAATAATTGTGATTAAAAACCCCTTTCACCTGAAGTCTCTGGATCGTTAATACAATGTTAAACACAAATCTACACACCAGTCAAGCCATAAGACTTGCTTTTTCCACAGGAATCACAAATTTGCAGTGATGTTGCTAACACAAAGGATTCTGGGTGGGCATATGCAAATTAGTTAAACAAAGAATCACATTTTTCCCTCATTCAATTTTAAAAATGGATTCCCTTTGAGTCTGTTTGCTGTATGCAACAGCTTTGAAACACAATTTAGGAGGTGGTGCACTCCTATGTAAGAGTATATTAATAGGACTGTGCATTGTGTGGTGGAGAATGGATAATCCTATATAAAATGAGCAGTGTCTCGAACTGCCTTATAAAATATTATCCAGAATGACATACTGAATCTTATTTTCACATTTTATCCTCTAAAATTTCTTGGCCAGTATACATTTTTATTTGTGGGAGGGAGGTGAGGAGGGGTTCTCTGCAGATTATATTTGGAAAGCAGATACCCTATTATATAAAAACTCATTAGTTTGAAGTAGACCTGTTAATACAGTGATGAGTTACATAATAGATTTTTTTTTTTTAATCTTTAAGAAAAACTTTGGACTAATTTAAATTTAGGAACATAAAACGTTTAAGCGGTTTCGTTAACCCCTTAAGGACACATGACATGTGTGACATGTCATGGTTCCCTTTTATTCCAGAAGTTTGGTCCTTTAGGGGTTAAAGGGACACTGTAGTCACCAGAGCAACTACAGCTTATTGAATTTGTTCTGGTGAGTAGAATCATTACCTTCAGGCTTTTTGCTGTAAACACTGTCTTTTCAGAGAAAACGCAGTGTTTACATCACAGCCTAGTGATAACTCCACTGGCCACTCCTCAGATGGCTGTTAGAGATCCTTCCTGGGTCATGGCTGCCTAAAATGCATCCAAACATTCAGTGTCTCCTCCCTCTGCATGCAGACACTGAACTTTCCTCCTAGAGATTCATTGATTCAATTAATCTCTATGAGGAGATGCTGACTGGCCAGGGCTGTTTGAATCATGCTGGCTCTGCCCCTGATCTGCCTCTGTCAGTCTTAACCAATCCTATGGGGAAGCATTGTGATTGTATCAGGAAACCATTTCTGATGATGTCAGCAGACTGCTTTGTTTTTCTGAGTCTAACTGCATGCAGAGTTACAGCTTCAGGCTTGAATACAGTAAGATTTTTACTATATTTATGGATGCATGAGGGGCCCAGGGGGCTAGATGGTGATTTTAACACTATAGGGTCAGGAATACATGTTTGTGTTCCTGACCCTATAGTGATCCTTTTCAAACCAAAATTAAATCTGCAAGTCATTCATGAACAGTTATACTAGAGTTTGAACAGGAGATAGTATTTGAGAATTATCCTACCAGCAGCTAGGAGTGTTATGGTGAGTACATTGTTCTTGAAATGTCTGCGTGTATGGAAAATGATCTCTGCTCACAATGTAGACCAAGTCCAGCCTGTGAGAATGCAAATGAGCCATGCACCTTATGTAGAATTTTGAAAAACCAGCAAAGGAATTTAAAGTTTTGGGGAAGCTATATCTAGGTAAAAACAATTCTGGTGCATTGTGCTAAATAAGTTCCAGTCACCATGGAAACCTGTAGAATTATCTCAACATTTAGCACTTTTCACCCAAAGTAGCACCTTCATATGGGTGCAACCAGAAGCTTGCTTTTAATTCTTTGCATCTAAATTCTTTTTAATTTTTTTTTTTTTTTTTTTTTGGTTCCCTGTTAAAGATTTGCATGTACAGAACATGCATAAATATTCTGTTTTATTTTTTCCTGTCTCAACAAAAAGCACAATTGCTAAATGGCAGAGAATTGAGCAGTGAAACCGCAACTAAATTTGTTCTTGTGCCTATAGTATCACTTTTAAGGCAGTATTTCTCAAATGTATTTGTCTGACCCTGAACAGATTTGTTTGGCCTAGTGAACACTTGGTGGCTACTATGATTATTCATTTTTTGAGTGAGTTCTTCTCAATTTGTGGCTCTTATGTTCATAGAGCATAGTGCTGAGGATCCAGACTTTTTCTTGCTTTAGTCCTGATCACTTACAAATTCACCTAAATAATCAGATTCATACAGCTCAGTTACATCATTATAAATGCTAGTCGTGCGCAGGTGCCATAGAGCGCTGGAAGGAACGATATGAGGTCACTTCCTTTGCGCTATCAGGGAAGAGGAAGTAACTTGGCACAATGACGTCCCTTGTGCACAGATCTCCATTTTGCAGAGTGCCATTGAGGGGTTAAATGTAGATGTAAGTCAGCAGGGTTTGTGGCATTGATTCCTGGTTTTTGGTATGTGGTAATTGATTTGTTAGACAAACCAAAGTTCAATCTGGTCTTCTGTTCAAGGGACACATTAAGCAACATAACCACTACAGGTGTATTGCTGCTGTCTTTTTGCAGTTTTTTTTTTTCCTGTAAAATACTGAAGGTATATATTTTTTTTTTCTCTTCATTAAAGGGATACTACATGATTAAATTATACTCTCTCTCCCCTTTTTTTTTAAAATAAAGCAAAGCTCTTGCCTTTGGAGGTTTTTTCCAGGGATTTGATCTCCTGCTATTGATGCCTATTGGAATCCGTTACTAGATGTGTAGGTCTCCATCTAAAGTTGCTGTCAGTGGGAGAATTATTAAAGGGGAAACTATATGCCCCAAAACAACTTCAGCTTAAAGTTTTGGTGTATAGATCATGCCCCATGCAGTCTAACTGCTTGATTCTCTGCCATTTAGGAGTTAAATGATTGTTTATGCAGCTCCTAAATGCCAGTGAGACAGCAGGGACGTGATCTATACACCCAAACTACTTCATTAAGCTAAAGTTGTTTTGATGCATTTAGTATCCCTTTACTTAGCATGCATGTTTTACAGGCAAAGAGCCATTTCTGCCTTGCTTATGCAAGTTATTGAAAGTGGCAATTACTGAGAAACAAAATTAAACATTTCCAGTAGTTATATAAGGGTAAAGCAAAGGTGCAAGTGGTAATGACCATTATACCGAAAATGCATTTCAGTGGGATGCATTCAAAATCCGTATAACTTTTCATGTATTCTTGAAACTCTGGTTTAGTGTTCCTGTTGCATTTCACCTGATCAGTGGCCTTTAATGAACTAGAGTTATGAGGCAGGTTTTAAACCTTAATGTGGTGCTTTTTGTTTGTACTGTTCCAACAGCAATATGTAACTCGGTGGAAGAAAACTTACTCGGCTTAAAGGAAAACTATATATAGTGCTAGAAATACAAAGTTTTATTCCTAACACTATATAGTACTCTCTGCGTGACCCCTCCTCCTACAGCGGTGAATGGTTAAAAGCCCTTTGTCACTTACCTGAGGGACATGGCGCCTAGTGGCATTAGGTCTTCCACATGAATCAATACTTTCCTATGAGGTTTTAGCTGACACTTGATGTCCTTATGCAAAGTCAGTTAGTGGGCCAAAAGTTGGCTAAGGACCCGGTGCGTCTCCATTGGTTGTCTGGTAGACCGCCGCTAGAGGTGGAGTTAACCCCCCCCCCCACCCCCCAAGGTAAATATTGTAGTTTCTCAATAACTGCATTGATTACAACTGTATGGTTAAGGGGGCAGGAACACTGAACCCTGTTCACTTCAATGAGATGTAGTGGTCTGGGTACTTATAGTGCCCCATTTTATAAATGTGGTTTTTCTTTTGACAGACTCAAAACCCATAAAGCACTTTCGCAAGCATACGTGGTTTAATTAGTGTTACATTAAAGGGACACTCCAGGCACCAAGACCACTTCTGCCCATTGGAGTGGTCTGGGTGCCACCTTCCACTACTCCTTAAGCCTGCAAGTGTGTGTGTGTGTGTGTGTGTGTGTGTGTGTGTTTTTTTTTTTTTTTTAATAAACTGCAAAAATTACCTTGCAGGGATAACTCCACATCTAGTGGCTGTCTGCCACTGTCAGCCACTAGAGGGCGCTTCATAGCACAGAAAACCTGTGCTCCAGCGTCGCTCAGTTCCCCATAGCAAAGCATTGAAAAACATTTTCAATGCCTTCCTATGGGGAGCTCTAATGCGCATGTGTGGCAATGCCGCGCATGAGTATTAGGTCTCCCCAGCCGGTGGGCAGGATCAGTCTTGCCCACCGGCCGACGTAATGCAGAGGAGGAGCGGAGGTAGAAGCAGCGACATGGAACATGTTACTGCCTCTGGTAAGGGCCCCCTTTCCTTAAAGGGACACTGTAGGCAGCCAGACCTAACCCTGAACATATACTTATTGCAGTTTCTATAAACTGCAATAATTACCTGCTAGGGTTAACTCCTTCTCTGGTGGTACCCTTGAAAGTGCAACCCAAGGCAAATGCCCTGGCAGCCTTGCGGTAAATACATCCCTGCGTGAGTGGGTAGAAGGAGGGGCAGGGAATAGTGAATTTCTTACCTGAGCCTCTCATGGGTGCTGCCATCCTCTCTGGCCAGTCCTGTTCTGCCAATGTCACTGCTGTACTCTCACAAGAGGACCGCATTGAGACTGTGGGATACTCCATAGATGAAGCCAATTTCCGTGTAGCCCTCTGACAGCTGAGGGACTGACGTTTCTTGAAGGCGGTAGCTCTGCTGTCTGTCAAGTGTCAGACTAAGGAAAAATACTGAGACAAGGAGTCCATACTTTATATATTTTACTTGGAAGTGAAAGTTGGTTCACTATACCGAAACACAGATCAGCAGAAAGAACAATGGAAATGCAGGAACTAAACACTGCAGTGATTTAAAAACCTGTCTGTCATACTCTGAGAACTATTTAAAGTGGGGTAGCTCCGCGAACTAGATTGAGGTGAGTAATTTACATTTGCCGGTCAGTGCTGGAGCCAAAAATGCATGCCAAAATTAAGGTAGCTTCCACAGTGTTAATTAATATCTGCAAACCTGATTAGTGAGAGTATAAATGTCCAACTTAAGGTATATGGTTCATGTTACGCTTACGAACTAGAAGACTCTCTTAAGGATTCTAAATATGAAGACTGTGCTAGAAATAACAAAATAAAATGTACAGATCTCTCTATGGCCCTGACGCCTGAAAACCGCCCTGTGGTGATGTAGTTAGTAAGTGTAAAAGAACAAATCTAAAATGAAAAATGTTGGTTCCTGTAGGTATGAACTGTATACACTTGGGTCAAGGAGTCCCATCCCCTTCTCGGGACTTAGTCTATTTGGTAGATCCCAGGCACAGCTGGGCAGGTGAATTGCTATATGCACTTTTGCAACATCAATGCATAAGATCTTATTTACTTCAAGGCAGCAAAAATGTCTTGTTAGAATGTTACATGAGTTTGATTTTTCACGTGATCGTGACAGCTGGGTAAAGTGTGTGTTTTTTTTTTTCTCTCTCCATTTTTATAAACTCCGCTTATCGTCTCATGCAGGCTTCAAAATGGAACCAAAGCCATCAAGGTTACCTAGGAGGATAACCGTTCAGCCTTCTCCTTCATCATTAAGTTCTACAGCTATGAGAAGAGGCCGCCTGGGGGTCCATAGTGAAACCTACACTACAAGAGACAGTTATCTGAGGCATGACTTGGATTTTCAGGTAATTCTTTAAAGGAAGGATTCAGTACACAGAAGAAAGTTTTAAAGTGTTTTACTTAAATCCTGTTCAGAGAGATCTAGGCAGTGATTATCTTATATGTATCAGATATTGGTAGCTCTCCTTTCCTTTCCTTCTCTAGAAGCATTATTTGCATCCTGATATGCCTTTTCCAAGATTGTGAATATGGTAACTGGGGAGCAAAGATCCCTTTTCACTGACCTTCACCCATGTTCTGTTAACCCCTTAAGGACCAAACTTCTGGAATAAAAGGGAATCTTGACATGTCACACATGTCATGTGTCCTTAAGGGGTTAAATCCTGTAATGAAATCAGTTGGCAATGAAATGTATGTGAAACCTATGAGGTATGCATATTTTGCTTTTTAATTCCAGGGTGATTTGTTGCATACAGTGTTTGTATTTATTTTGAGTTTGCGCATTCAATTTGAACCCCGCAGCGTATTAATTTTAGCATATTGAATCCAAACTGCTAAATTTTGTATACAATAATATAAACTTTGATTAGAGCCTAGTTAGAGAAATATTCCAGAGCAGCTATTTTGACTCTTATGTAGCAACTTTTTTTTTTTTTCTCATCTAAAACTCAGTTTAGTGAATAGCTCTGATAGAAGGAAATTGTGCTGTACCCTGAAGGTTTTAGCTGATGGGCAAATCCAATAGAAGTCGCTCACTGTAACTAGGCTTTATTTGTTCATCAGATCAAGACAGACTTGAAGCTGCCCAATGTATTTCAGACTTCAGTCAGTCCTTAATCATAACCTTGATTTAAATGCTAGTTGGAATGTAGTTGACTGAACACACCAATACACGCTTGCAAATGGGTGACTTTATGTCCGCTCTTATTTCTTGCTTTTCTCCTCCACAGTTGATATTCTTGTAATTAATAACCAGCATATTTGTGACTTGTATCCTGAATGGAATTCTGGAGCTTATTAAAAGCATGTTGCTGCATTCTGTACTATCCTGTATGTGGCACAGTTCTGTGCTGCAGTACGGATTGCGGTGTCTGCTGTTTAATAATCGTACCTGAATTTCTGTGTGATATTTCTTGTCCAAGGCTTTTCTGAAGATGTTCTTACTTTAAAACTACAAATGCACTAGGTTTGTTTAGATTTTTTTTTTTTATTTCAAATGTATAAATCTCATGCAGTTTATACCTGTACGCTCATGTAAAGTGTGTGTGTGTATGTGTTTTTTTTTTTTTTTTTAAATGTATTATACTGGTGTAACCTAAAGGTATGTTTATCTGACGTTTCCTTTACAGACACCAATTGCCAGCGGCATTTTACAAAGTATTGGTAATTGAACTTTAGGATGCTATATTGCTGATTGTGACTGTTCCTAAGCAGTGTGTTTTCATAACCATTCCAATGTACACTTTGTCAGGAAACCTAAGACCTGAAAAAAGAGCTCTCTGCCTTAATGACCTCAGCCTGATTATATAAACAGAAGTGAGCTTTGATATTGACCGGGCTCTTCAGCTTCTGGAATCTAAAATCGTTTTATTTTAGCTGTGGTTCTTTCAAAGATCCAGGATCTGTTCATTACCCAATTCTTTCAGTCTGATTATCAATAAAACCTAACCTGTTGGTGCGGACAGTGTTCTCAACCAGTTTCCTGGGTCCTCTCAGATGTCTCTTCAGAAACTGTCAGGCAGATAGTTGAGTTACAATAACTCTGGAGGGCAAGAACATGTCTACTGAAGTGACCAGAGGTGGGTTTTAAGCAGTCTAATAAGTATAGTGCTCCCCAGCACCTCTGACCGCCTGAGTACAGCAAACTTTGAATTATCAATACTGCTAAATAGAGTGCAGTCTATGGGGGCCCAGGGACTGCTCTAGTTTGTGTCAACATGCTCTGAGGTACTTTGACCAAGAGACTACTGGCAGAATAACCATTACACTGCACTTTAATGGTTATGTTGCTTTTACTGCCACTTTAAGATGCTATTGCGTTCTCCAGTGGCACTTATTCTCTGGAATATGATTGTTTTACATAGCAGGCTTTCCTACTATGACCGTTTCAAGCTTTGTAAATTTGTGTTAATTTAAAAGCTAATTGGAATTCAAACCCACCCTTTAGAATAACCTCAGAAAAACTGATGCTTGGATTGCTGTCTTGTACTGTTTGAAGTGGTCAGTCGGACATCTGTACTGATAGTACTATATTAATGCACCAAGTCAAAGTGCTAAGTTTGTGGCCCTTCACAGGCTCCAAAGGGTGAATTGGTTTCTACCTCAGTGTGGATCATTTAAAACCATCAGCTGTACTGAAAGATACCAATTCTAGTCTGTAGGCACCATCAGGACCAAGCTTGCAATATATCATCCGGTCTAACTACAAACTTTAACTTTTTTTTTTTTTTTTTAAATATATATTTTAACCACATGACATCGTGTACAAATCTTGTAGGATTTTTTCCCTCTCCCCCTCTTACTTTTGTTGGCTTATGTCTCTGGGTACCACTGGAGTTTTATGAACTACTGTTATTTACACATAGTAAGCACCAATGCAGAATGATCTATTGTTGAAAAAAATAAATTACGTTAGTCACATTTGAATTTTATGTAACTTACAATGTATACTTCTGTTGCAATGATTTAAATACCAAATGCAGTTTGATTTGCCATGTTGCATATTCTGGAAACCTTTCTAATGTGGTCTGTAATTCACTTGTGTGGGTTGCTTGGTCTCCTTTATTTCAATTAAAGGACCACTCAAAAAACAAAGTATGTTGTAGTGGTTGTTGCCAGGAGTGCACTGATGCCCCATCCCTGTTTTGGTAGCCACACACCAATTTCAAGCAGACTGACTTACCACTGTGCACTGCTCCCTGCCTCCACTACAGCTCACGGAGCTTCTGAATGAAGCTCTGTTTTGTTGTGCCTTGAATATTTAACTCTTTGAGTCATCATAGATTGTGCTAGTAAATGTATGGATCAAAAAAATATTGTACTGTCTTCCAGGCCTTATTTGAAATGTGTGGAATGTTTATCTATGTGTTAATCAACTTGTGGGTTTTTGGCTAGGAACCTGGTGCGTTGCCTACATCAAGCAGAGATTGGACCAGAGAGAGGTACAACCTTGAGCCTAACTGGAAGACTACCTCTTCCACTTATCAGCGATGCTCAGGAACTTATGAACGCTCCTTGTCTGGGAGCTTAGGAAGCCGAAGCAGAGTTGTAAGTTGTGTTTTTTCTCTCTTGTTTTTTCCCTTTTTTCTAAACAGTCTTCTGCGCAGAATGCATTTATGATGCAGCTTGCCACATTTGTAGATTTTCTCAACATAACTGCTTAATTATCTTGGAGGGAAGACTTTCACATCTCTTCCCCCCCCCCGCCCCCCCCCCTTCCTGGTGTATATTTCACTTGCCTGACATGTGAGCTGGTATGTTCATGTTTAAAGGGCTGTTCTGCATGCTCTGGTTTCAGGTGATCATTCTTTCAAGGACTCCTGAAAGAACTCTGTAGAAACCGTGTGTATATATACTGGAAATATTGTCACATTGGCTAGTATTTGCTACCGTTTATAGAACTGATTGCGAATGGAAATGTGTCATAATTACAAATGTGCAAAAGACTTTCATTATGGCCATAATTTCATACTCTGAATGTTGGCCATCATGTTATAATGTGGGGAACGTCTGTGAAATGAATTCTACATGTTTATTCACTAATGAAGGAGAGTTTAGAACGTTTTGTTTGTGTTGGTGGCTTTTCAAAGAGATCCATCTTTGGGATGCATCACTCACTGTTTCTTTAGCTCTTGCTGAGTTTGTAACACTTTCCTGATAATTGGAACCAACTCTAGGGGTTCAGCTGCCCTCCATGACTCCATTCCAATTCCTGGGTTTTGCTCTCAGAATAGTGTCATAAAATGTTTAGGAGCATAAAAATAACCTCTTCTACATTGGTGGATGGGAGCACCAGTTTATGAGAAGGCTGGTGTGGGATTCCCAGACAGATTATGTGATACTAGACCAGGCATAGGCAACCCTTTGGCACTCCAGATGTTTTGAACTACACCTCCCATGCTTTGCCAGCAATATGGGTGGAAGTGCAATATGGGGATGTGGTCCACATCTGGTGTGCCAAAGGTTGCCTTCCCCTGCACTGGTTGTCCTCTTCCTCCTTGGCTTCCACCATGTTGAAGCAGCTCTGTGGTGCAGCTTTGAAAGTTCCTTTTAGATGTTTACAAAAAGCATACTTGTCCTTAAAGTGAACCTGTCACTCCAGTTTCCACACTAGTTGGCTTTAGAAACATAGCATTCCTTAACTGCCGACCTCTGGGGGGGTTGTCTCTTATATCCGGTTACTCTAGTATCTGCTTAGACCCTATGCTACTGGCATACAGGTATAATGCCGAGGATTGATTGAAAGGTGGAGGAAAGAACATTTTGAAAGTACATTCAATTAAAGTCTGTATATCTATCATTTCTGCTACCACAATGTATAGATAAAATTTAATGGACTTTACCATATTTAAAACATACATATCTGTCATTGACAAAATAAAGAATTATAAAAAAAAAAAAACCATACAATATTTGAGTTAAAAAAATAAAGTGAGGTCGACTTTGGAGTCACAATACCAGCACTCTAAAAATATTTACACTGATAAACCATATCTAACAAATTAACCACCATATCAACTCCATAATTATCATTGGCGGATTTATAAAAAAAGTGGCGGTTCCCACAAGTATTCGTAAAGGTTTTTTGTTTTCTCCCTCTAAAGTCTGCTGCTTCATCGTCCTCTTCATCATCAACTTCCTCCTCTTCTTCTTCTTCACCGTCTTGGTATGAGCCTCTGGAGAGGGCTCCGGGCACTTATACTGGATTGCACAGCCAGCAGCAGGATTGGGATTCTAAGCGACCAAAGCTCTCTTACACAGGTTGTTCATCTCTTTCTGGTATCAGAAGTAATACAAATGGATTGCGTTCCAGTCCAGGTATTATCCCACTTTATTATGTATCCATAATATACTTTCCAGTCCCTCCAGTAAATAGTATGTTGAAGGATTATAAAATAAATCAAATCTATTTCCTGTGTCTCCAGATTCAAGTAGGTATGGACGCTTCCCCAGAACATCATCATTAATGCTTGGATCTACTGGGCCAGATTTAACACGTGAAAGGGAGAGGCGGACAGAATCGTCTGCATCTGTTCATGGTTTCACAGATTATAGGCATAGAAATGGGGACACAACACCCTCATGTAAGTATCTGTGATATGTTCTGTTCCATAATCAGTAATCATGGACTAATTGTATTACAGGTTATTCTGGATTCTTGCATAGGTGGTCATGTTTTGGTGTGTAGCAGATTAATATAGTAGGCTGGAATTAAGGGATAATCTTTTAGCTTTCATTAGGGGAACAATCCCTGCTTATCGAAATACAGATTTTACCAAATGGATATTGGTAACATGTAAAAAGTGTAAATTCTGCATTCTTAAGGCTACTAGTGAGGATATTTGGGTCCTAGGGAGAACCCTGGTTCTTGATTCATTCAAAACTGTTTTCCAGACAACGCTGGGCTGTGGTTGTCTCCAATGTTAATGATTTCTGGAAACTTGGGAACCTCAACAAAACCACTGCTTACAGAGTGTTTGGGAAATTAAGATTTGTCGTTTTTTTTTTTTTTTTTTTTTTTTTTTTGTGTGGTTGGAAGATAGTCTTGCAGTGCCACAGCAACAGATTCATACATATTAGAACTAGGGATCGACCGATTATCGGTTTTACCGATATAATCGGCCGATATTCGGTATTCTCGGCGGTATCGGCCAATTCAGATACCGATATTGCCGATAATACCTCCTAGGACTGCCAGGCTCATTACAAGCCCGGCGGTCCTGGGGGGGCGGAGAGCAAGCGCTTACTCACCTCCCAGCAGCTCCTCCAGCTCCCCAGTGCAACTCTCGCGAGACCCGCGGCCGTCAGAGCGTTGCCATGGATCACCATGGCAACGCTCCGCGCGACACGCTGGCCGCGAGAGTTGCACTGGGGAGCTGGAGGAGCTGCTGGGAGGTGAGTAAGCGCTTGCTCTCCGCCCCCCCCAGCTCAGCCAATGCCACTGGACCACCAGGGACTGTCATATCCCCCCTCCCTGGCCAGGTAACAAGCAGGGAGGGGGGACAACAAAAATAAATAATAAAGTAAATATAATTTTTTTTTTTTAATAATTTAATAAAAAATGCCCCCTCACACACTGCATTATATACACATACACTACACAAACACACTGTGTATATAATGCAGTGTGTTTGTGTAGTGTGTGTATATAATGCAGTGTTTGTGTAGTGTGTATATATAATGCATTGTGTTTGTGTAGTGTGTGTATATAATTCAGTGTGTTTGTGTAGTGTTTGTGTAGTGTGTGTAGTGTTTGTGTAGTGTGTTTATATAATGCAGTGTGTGTGTGTTTGTGTAGTGTGTTTATATAATGCAGTGTGTGTGTGTGTTTGTGTAGTGTGTTTATATAATGCAGTGTGTGTGTGTGTGTGTGTTTATATAATGTAGTGTGTGTTTGTGTAGTGTGTTTATATAATGTAGTGTGTTTATATAATGCAGTGTGTGTGTGTGTGTGTGTTTGTGTAGTGTGTTTATATAATGCACACTACACAAACACACTGCATTCACTATACACACTACACAAATACACACAGTCTGCATTCATTATACACACACACTTTGCATTTAGTATATACAGCATTCACTTTACGCACACTACCCACACACTACACAAACACTCTGCTTTCATTATATACACACTACACTAATACACACTGCATCCACTACACACACTAGACAAATACACACTGCATCCACTACACAAACACACATTGCATCCTCCACACACTGCATCCACACACACACTACACAAACACACACAGCTCCCCTGTCACACTGCATCCACTACACGTGGCATGTATATTTTGTGCATTTACCTTTAGAAATAGTTTTTATTTTGGTAAATGTACAGAATATCGGCAAATTATATCGGCTATCGGCCTGAAAGTTCACAGAGTATCGGTATCGGCTCTGAAAAATCAATATCGGTCGATCCCTAATTAGAACAATTGCATGGCAAATGATCTAGCCCAACTTTTATAATTATAGTAATAAATAAGCATAGTTAAGCTGAACATTGTTTAAGTGAATAGTGAAATGTTTTTTTTCAGACTGGTCTAGTATTGGCATTCTAGCAAGATCAAGTAAATTGTAGGTTATGCATTGCCCAGCAGGACTTGGTAACTAACAAATGACTAAACCTGAGGTGATATAAGATTATAACCTAAGTAGGTTAGCACATATATAGTTGGAGAGCAAGATTTTTGGGAAACCAGAGCATCTGTGATAATGAGATTCTACTCAGCACATAGCCCTGAGTGGGAAGTGCCCAGTATTGACACGGGAGCTCAGTGGTAAATGATGTGCACTGAAATTCACATGCCTATTGAAAACTGCAACATAAAATAAGAGTAAAGCACATTGCTTGTTTTGTAGGCTAAACCTGCTTTACACTGTATGGCAAGATTAGTCCCAGGAGCAGTTCATGCTTTTCACCCCATGCCAAACCTAGTGGCTTGAGTCTGGGGTGAGAGCAGAGATGGAGCCAGGGCAGGGTAGTGCCATGCTGTGAGGTTGCCGCTGCATTCTGTCTGCCACGTGCCTGAACTCGAGGGAGGTTGTGCTTATCACTGTGGGTTGTGGGGTGCCCATCTCTCTGCTTTCACTGAGGGTTAGGCTGCTGTGCAGTCCCCACTCTGGTGTTTGCCACCTGAATGCTGCACAGAGCTGAACAAAGTGTGTTGGCAGTGTGCCACAGCCTTGTGAGGGATGAGTGCAGTTTACATGTGCCATCTCAGTGCAGGCAGCTGCCATCTTAGGGGAGTTGTGTTGCTTTGCTTCCTCTCGCTTGTACCCATCCACCTGGGCCTGTGTGTAGTTCCAGGTTTGTAGTAGTGTAATGGGATGGATTCCCCACTGAGAACACTGTGGGATAGGGGAGCAATGTACTCGGTTAGCTTGGCTGAGTCGCAGCATATGGGGCTTAGTCTGCCACTTGCTCCGGGTGGATGCGACTACTCCGCATGGTGGTCAAGCTCCACCCCATTAATATTGTTTCTAGTTCCAAAAGTTTTAGTTGTTAGAAAGATGGTTTGAGTGTTTTCATTTTTAACAAACGCTTGTCTAATTCTGACTTTGGCAGATGTTGCTTTAGCAGATTTTTCAGGTACATTTTTAGTTGACAAAAATGCATTACCTTTAGTTACCACCAGGCACTGCTCCCACTATTTCAGATGCAGAGCCGAAAGCTCAAAAGCAGGAGCTTCAATTTGCTCTCCTGAGCTGGTTCCAAACACCACTGACTTGATCAGAGAGCCAGCATTACTGGCTGCCGAACAAAAACTTCATGATACTGGAGGAAGTTAGAGGGCACGGTTTTGGGTGCTAGGGGACCAGCTGTTTTAAATATGTAAGCTGCACTTGGTTAAAAATGTGGAAGTCTGGGATATGTATTGCACATTTATCACCCTTAATATGAATGTTGCAATGTGAATGCTGTAGGAACTGGCTTTGTCTTAAACGTCCTGCATTATCCACCAATTTAGTGGAAAATGAACTGTTAATCGTTAACACATGGGGTGAGCAGCAGCATTGGAACATGGATGTGTAGTACAAAACTAAGCCCTGTGCTTCCCCTATTCCTGGGCGGCAGCAGCAATGCCTACAGTACACATCCTCCCCAATGCATACAATAAAAACAAAAGCAAAAAGTTGCTTATATTAGTCATATTACATTGCTCCCACTCACCCCTTGTGTTCCCTATTAAGGGTAAACAAGTGGTTTAGGAAAACAACTTTCCCATTGGACATTCAGCCTCTTTGGCAAAAATCAGCAAGGTGAATTTGGTGTAGAACTTGCATGAGCGGTTTTGCACTAATGTGACAAGTGAGATTACACTTGAATACCATTGGAGTGATCACACTTTTTTATTTTATTTTTTTTTTTAAATGTGCGTTGCGACTTGGAATAGCTTACTTTAGTTTGTTTTTTACTATTCTATATTTAATGTAGTATTCATTTTTAAAAACATGCCACTTGAAATCCAGTTTACTTATAGAAATATAAGACTTTTGTGTTTGATTTTTATTTTATTTTTTCCCCTTAACCTAAAAATACAAACTATTTAGATTCTACACTTTTCTCCCCATCCCCCCCCCTTTCCCCTCTTTACTACAGATCTTCAAGATAGAGTTTCATCATATGCACAGGGTGCAAGACCAAAAGAAAATTCCTTAAGCACATCACGATTTAATACATCTTCTCTTAACCGCCAGTTGCCTTCTCAACACAGTTCTTCTTTATTCAGCAGAGACTCAAGTAGGAACTCAAGACAAGGCACCTCTGTAGAACCAATCTCCTCACAAAGGGAAGTGCGATCTGACTTGCGCCACACTACTAGCAGAAATGAGGGGACTTCAGGGAGCATATTAAGACGGGTTTCCACGACTCCAAGATCTTCAAATGAACAGCCTTCTGATACAGATGGCAGACGTACAACAAGGCACTTGCTGTCTCGTCTAGCTTCTAGTATGTCCTCCACGTTCTTCTCCAGAAGATCAAGTCAAGATTCTTTAAATGGAAGAACGCCAGAATCTGAAGAAGCACAACCTTGTTTACAAGATGCATCTCAGTCTAATGTTGTCACATCTCCTTCGTCTGACCTACCCGAGAATAGGGCTTCTGATCAATCTCAGGGATTTGTATTTCTCAGACGGAGGCTGTGGGGTGTGTCCGCTGTTTCTCCAAGTCAAAGCTCTGATTCTGATGCAGATAGCAACCGATCTGAAGAATCTGATACAAGGACTTCTGGATCATGGCTGCCTTCGTCCATTAGGAATAGATGTACTCCACTTTTTTCAAGGAGAAGACGAGAGGGAAGGGATGAAACTGCAAGAGCAACATCTACCTCTGACACAAGCCGTTCGCACAATCCTTTCAGACGGTCATCACGAGAAGAACAATCTTCTTCAGAAGAAACACAAAGAAGTTCTCAAGGTGCTGCAGCCAGCTCTTCACGCTCTCCTACAAATATCGCTACAGCAAACGCTTCTTTAGCAGATTCTATCTTCAGCAGGAGAAATTCAGGAATTTCTGGCATGCTTCCAAACTCCTTTCTACACTTTTCAGTGCCAGCTGCACTGGGCAACACCTTATCAGATAATGTCATGATAACTGTAGATATTGTTCCATCAGGTAGGTCAAGTGATGACCAAGAAAGTGTAAAGTCTCAGAGCTCTTCCAGAGATCCAGAGAAATTAAAGAAAATACAGGAAAGGTAAGGTTTCTCTCTCTAAAACGATTCCAACACGCATAACCAGTACTGAATATTGTTACCTAGCAGTATCATTTTTCATTTCCAGTTCTTGTACCCTTTGTTAGGGCAGAATTCTTAGTGCAATGTGTTGCTGCTGATCTTTCTAGCTGGAACAGCATTGCATTAACAGTAATAGAGCTAAATATTAAAAAAAAATCATTGTACACTTTTTTTTTTAAATTAGGAAAAACTGAAATGTGCTTTCCTCAGCCATCTCAGTGTTTTGTTTTTTTTTGGTTTTTTTTTTTGTTTTGGTTTTTTTTAAGAAATCTAGGGGGGTCTGTTCTGTGAAATAAACATTCAAGTGAAGTGTCTTATCTATGTAAAGGTGTTATTGCAGTCCTAAAACAAACCTAATGCCTTAAATGTGGAAATTCTCTACCATATGTGGTATATTCATAAATCACAATGCTTTTTCTAAAATCTATTGGACAAGCATTCTTCTCAAACCTCCCTCTATTAATACATAATCACATTGATTAGCTTTCTTTTTATTTTGATGTCTATTTTTCCAACTGCTTTACTGAGATGTATTCATACCTCTACCTTACATACCTGTCTCTTGCACTCTACCCTCTCCTCCAGCTCTGCTTCACTCCCACCCTATTTGATATTTCCTGTCCTAACGTGTCTTTTATACCCCACCTCCTATAGACTGTAAGCTCGTTTGAGCAGGGTCCTCTTTAACCTATGGTTCCTGTAAGTTTTCTTGTAATTGTCCTATTGTTAAATCCCCCCTCTCATAATATTGTAAAGTGCTACGGAATCTGTTGGCGCTATATAAATGGCAATAATAATAGAATACATTAAAGTAAGCAGTAGTACAGCGGGGAAGCTTTCAAACATGGCAACATACTTGAAGTTGTAATAAAAAAGAAAAGGAAAAAGGTGATTAGCGCACACAAAATATGAGTATTACCTTGTATTAAAATAATGTTTCGGGTAATCATACACATTAAAATTTTCTTGTGACCTGTGCATAGGTAAATAAAATATACATAGTGTAACCTGTATATATACAATATATAAAATGAGGAAAGTTTGGGTCTCACTCACAATTTCCAGAGCCTTTTAAAAGTTGGCTCTAAACTTATAGCACTTCTCGTCTCTTCCTTGAGACACAGGTAACTGGTATAGGTGTAACCACAGGAACCTGGAACTGATGAATTGGCAGCAGACTCCAAAATTAAGTAAGGAGTTATTTTTTTTTTTTTTAATTCTTTATTTTTTCGCAGTCAACTTGTGATAGACATTGTGTATGACATATTCAATAAAGCATAACATTGCGGTTAACCATTTACATGCAGTTGGTAGGATATCAATGTAGCCTGCGGTTTTTATTTTTATTGTAATGTAGCGTGTTACTGCCATATACTTGCCTCCAGTGGTAGTGGAAATATATATCTAGGGCATGCATGGCCGTACATTAGCAAAAATGAGTGAGAAGTAGTGTGTCTCTAGAGCGGGCAGGACGCTGTAGGAGTGCAGCTCCACATGGTTGAGTGGGTGTTAGTGGATACTAGCGTGGAGCTGGGGGGGGGTTGGTGGTCTTTAGGGAGCCTGTGTTCCCGGGTTAATCCCGGTCGCGGCTCATTTAGGCTTGTCTGGTGGGAAAGATGGTTACGGTCCTTCCCTGCTTGCGTTGTATATGTAGATGCGTAGCATTTAAGTGTTGTCTGAGTAAAGGAAAATACAATAACAACTAAAAAACTTATGCTGTGCTAACTGTGCATCTGTAAGATGCTGGCCCCATGAGGCCCGTATGTCGTAATAGGTGAGGAAACAAGATTTAAACTAAAATAAACAAAAATAAACAGAAGGCAGTCTCCAGAGTCAAGTATTTGCTCGGCTGGGTAAACTCCTACTCGCCGGGATGAACGGGATAGCGTTAGCCGGGTCCCAAGCTGTCGGTGCAGCCATTGCAGTGCGGTTCAAACCCAGTGTGGTCAGAGTTGCCTCGATCTCCGATGCCTCAGTCACCCTGATCTGTGTTCTGATGCTGGATGAGTAGCGCTCGTGTTGGGCCCCAGCGGTATTTGAGTCCCTTCGACGATAATATGGATGTGAGGGGACGTAGTGTTTTTCGCCACTGTAGGGTCTGGCGGGAGAGATCAGAATAGGTGATTTCCATCTCCTCGAACCGGAACGGGGGTTTGCCTCGCACTGCACTCATAACGGCTGCCTTGTCCTGGCCATTTTGAAATTTGACCAGTATGTCGCTGGTGTTGGAGGCAGTGGCTGAGGGAGGCCTGGGGAGCCGAAACATCCCATCCAGTGTAATGCCCCTGGCTTGTTTGGGAGAGAGAAGGGCTGTGAAGAGCCTGCGCATGCAGTGTGGTAATTCTGCCTGGGTGATATTGTCTGTGAGACCCCTGATTTTCAGGTGTTTCCACCTTCTTCTATCCTCCATGGCTGCAAGGTGGTGGCTTAGAGTGTTGTGAGCTGTGGTGAGGGTGTCAATCTGGGTCTGTAGCTCCAGGATTTGGGCTGTATGTGTTGTGGTGGTCTGTTCAACTGCATTTAGGCGCCCATTGAATCCCTTAAGGTCCTCTCTAACCTGTGAGATTTCAGACGACAGACTTTGACGGAGGTCCACCAGGAGGCCGGTGAGTATTTCTGTGGTGAGCGGTGCTGACCCTTTGGCTGCTGGCTGGGCAGGTTTTGGAGGCTGTATTCCCTGCTCCCCCAGATTGTGAAGGGAGTAGTCTTCTGATTCATCAGAGAAATCCTCCAGGTCCGCCGCCATGTCAGTTCGACCTGCTCCATGCGGCCCTCTCAGGAGGTCGCCGATATCGGCGCAGAATCTGGGTCTATCTGGTCGGGGTTTTTTGGTCTTCCTCCCCATCGTTTGTGGTATCGTCTGGTGCTTATTGGAGGGGGTATACACCCCGTATTTCAGCTGGTTTTAGGCGTTTTTTTGCCGCTTTGTCGGAGCTCAGGGAGATTGCGACCGTTGCTGTTGAGCGCTAGCTCCGCCCCCAGTAAGGAGTTATTTTTATTGTAACAAATTGTTAAAATGGTGTGTATATACTATTTTTTTTGTGTATGTATATATATATATATATATATATATATATATATTCTTTTATTTTAACAATTTGTTACAATAAAAATAACTCCTTACTTAATTTTGGAGTCTGCTGCTAATTCAACAGTTCCAGGTTCCTGTGGTTACACCTATACCAGTTACCTGTGTCTCAAGGAAGAGACGAGAAGTGCTATAAGTTTAGAGCCAACTTTTAAAAGGCTCTGGAAATTGTGAGTGAGACCCAAACTTTCCTCATTTTATATATTTGTGTGTGTGTATATATACAGGTTACACTATGTATATTTTATTTACCTATGCACAGGTCACAAGAAAATTTTTAATGTGCATGATTACCCGAAACATTATTTTAATACAAGTAACACTCATTATATTTTGTGTGCGCTAATCACCTTTTTCCTTTTCTTTTTTTATTATATCACGTTTGTAAGTGTATTTGGTGATACTACACTTGGGAAATTTTAGCTGCACCAGGTTTTACTATTTTTAGTGCCTTTGTATCCTTTTTTTTTATCTTATTTAAATACTTGAAGTTGTGTGTGATGGTTTTTTTTTTTTTGTTTTGTTTTTTTTTTGTGTGTAGCTAAATCTCACATTAGTTGGTTCATATTTGTAAATGAGCTCCTATTGATTTATGTAGAAAGTAAATAGGTTTTAGTATATTCTGCCAACATCAGTAATGCTTTCTAGTTTATTAGATAACTAATACTGTGCTAAACCAATCACTGGTATATGCATGTATTCTAAGCTGCAGTAGGCTTTAAAAATTAGTTGGGTGTTTATGTGTTTTTTTGTCTGCTAATTCTTTGTAGTATTTTTACATTTCTGCTTGTTTTCTAGCCTTCTCCTAGAGGATTCTGATGAAGAGGAGGATGACCTGTGCAGAATTTGCCAGACTGGAATGTCTACCCCAAATAATCCCTTCATACAACCTTGCAAATGTTCTGGCAGTCTACAGTATGTTCACCAGGACTGTATGAAAAAGTGGCTGGAAGCAAAAATTAATTCAGGCAAGTACATGTTTTTTCTATAAATGCCTGGTAAAATATGGCTAAGTAAAGAGTGCCTAGTATTCCACAAATTGTACTCAAATAAAAGTTTGTATTAGATCTCTTGTAGCAGTAACTCCCATAATAAAAGTCGAAAAAAGAATCTTCACTATTGTGGCTCTGCAACACAATTCTGAAGTTGTATTTGAGTGTAAACCATTCCAATAGTGCTCACTGCATTCTATGTATGCAATATACAAAATATATTGAAAGCAGGTTTTTAAACTCATTTCCTTAAAGGAACACGCCCATCTTTGTAACATGAGCTCATTAAAGGAACACTTTAGGGTCAGGAACAAAAACAGGTGTTTTTTTACCCTATAGTGTTAAATCCACCATCTGGTCCCACCCCCTCCCCCTTCACACCTTTAAATATAGCAAATATTACATTTAATCTAGTCTGCTACTGCTGCAGGCTATGCCCCTGATCTTCCTGCTTAATTAACATCAGAAGTATTGCTCAATACCAATCCCCTCTCCCTCAACATTTTGTAATTGTCTCACCTATTGTTAAAATTCAAAGTGCTGCAGAATAAAATGGCAGATAATCTGCATTTATGTAGCGCAAACTGGAGTGCCCATGCCCATTCCCCTAATTGCTCTAAATCTCTCTGCAGCAAAGTAATATTCTGCTCCCATTGTATTAACCTAGTTTTGTCACCTGCAATCACCAACCCCTAACTCACCATGCCTATTCGAAATAATTTCTCATGTTTAGGTGAGTGCACACCTGTTTCAAACATTGCCATTTAACTTCAAAGAGAATGTGTTTTACATTGCCACAGAAAGGGACATGATCAATTTAGCGAAGCAGTTTTGGTGTTTAGTGTCCATTTAATGGACAATCCAAACTTATTTGCATGATGGCAAACGGAGTCCACAACTTATGCAGTGCTACAGAATGTTACTAATTTGTCTTTAAAGGCATGTACGAAGAATTGTCTGACATTTCTGTATTTGGCTGGTTTTATCTATTTGCACAGGCTGGGGCAAAAGTCAAATTGCAGTTTTCAGATCTGTTTGTACAAATGGAGAAGTCACTATAAAGGTGCAAAGAGTTCTAGTTGATAGCTTGTGTCATTAATAAGCTGTTTTGTTTTTCCAGTTATATAAGCATGCTAATCTCAAATCCATTCTCAAATTTTTTTTTAAACCTTTTTTTTTTGTTATAGGATCAAGTCTAGAAACTATCACTACGTGTGAATTGTGCAAAGAGAAACTCTCGCTGAATTTGGAGGATTTTGACCTTCATGAACTTTACCAGGCTCATGCAAACGAGAGAGTAAGCGTTCTATCCCTGTGATCCATGTGCTGTGCTTGCTATTCACGGTTTAGCACATCTAGCACTGACTGGAAGTATAGTAATGGAATGAATGTCAATCCATTCAGATTCCGGCTGGTTGGAGTGAAGCCAGTGACTGTCATTGAAGAAGTTTATACTGCTTGAGGGGGGGTGTTGGGTGGGGTGGGAGTGGAAGAAGTGTTAGAATCCTGAAAAATTGGTTCAGCAGTTGGAAATAGAGCAGCATATAACACCAAATACTTGGGGCAAACAAATATATGTATTTGGTGATCCACATATATCGGACTAAATACAGCCGTGGTATAGGATACATCAACTTATCCAGATCGCCCAAAAAGTAATTCTGATCAGTATGTCTAAAGAGCTTTTTTTTTTTCTTCATAAGGTAACTGGATTTCTAACCTCCTCCAGTGAGCTGTGTCTACATACTGCGTTCCCCATATATGAATTTGTACAGCGTATCTTGAGGGTTGGAGGAGTTAGACTGCTGCAGCAATAGGGACTACTTGTTTAACTGGCACCCATGAAGGTGTTTTAGGAACGGTCTAGCTGAAGCTGCCAATATTCTGACTCCCACATGGGGAAAGCAGTATGTATGAAACATAGAATGTGACGGCAGATAAGAACCATTTGGCCCATTTAGTCTGCCCAATCTTCTAAATACATCTTATTAGTCCCTGGCATTATATTATAGTTAGAATAGCCTTATGCCTATCCCATGCATGCTTGAACTCCTTTACTGTGTTCATCTCTACCACTTCAGCTGGAAGGCTATTTCATGCATCCACTACCCTCTCAGTAAAGTAATACTTCCTGATATTATCTTTAAACCTTTGCCCCTCTAATTTGACTGTCCTCTTGTTGTGGTAGTTCTCCTTCTTTTAAATATAGACTCCTCCTTTACTGTGTTGATTCCCTTTATGTATTTAAATGTTTCTATCATACCCCCCCTGTCTTGTCTTTCCTCTAAGCTAAAGATGTTAAGATCCTTTAACCTTTCCTTTATCCTGCAATCCATGAACCAGTTTAGTAGCCCTTCTCTGAACTCTAAGGTATCCATATCGTTCTGAAGATATGGTCTCCAGTACTGTGTACAATACTCCAAGTGAGGTCTTACCAGTGTTCTGTACAATGGCATGAGCACTTCCCTCTTTCTACTGCTAATACCTCTCCCTATACAACCAAGCATTCTGCTGGCATTTCCTGCTGCTCTATTACATTGTCTGCCTACCTTTTTAAGTCATCAAAAATAATCACCCCAAAATCCCTTTTCTCAGATGTTGAGGTTAGGACTCTATCAAATATTCTGTACTCTGCACTTGGGTTTTTACATCCAAGATGCGTTATCTTGCACTTATCAACACTAAATGTCAGTTGCCACAACTCTGACCATTTTTCTAGTTTACCTAAATCATTTGCCACTTTGCTTATCCCTCCTGGAACATCAACCCTATTATACATGTCTTGGTATCATCACATAAATACATACCTTGCCATCAAGACCTTCTGCAATATTACTAATAAAAATTATTAGAGAATGAGTCAATGTACAGATCCTTGAGGGACCCTACTGGTGACAAGCCCATGCTTCGAATATACTCCATTGACTACAACCCTCTGTTTGTCACTCAGGCCACTGCCTTATACATTCAACAATATGGAAATTTAAACTTAGATTGCAGTTTATTGATAAGCCTTCAATGTGCAACAGTGTCAAAAGCCTTACTGAAATATAGGTAAGCAATGTCTACTGCACCACCCCGATCTATTATTTTAGTTTCCCAATAAAAAAAAGAATAAGATTGGTTTGTCATGATCTCCCTGACTAAACCCATGTTGTCTCTGATCTTGAAATCCATGTGTTTTTAGATGTTCAGCAATCCTATCCTTTAACGTGGTTTCCATTACTTTCCCCACTACTGAAGTAAGGCTTACTGGTCTATACTAGCCTGACTCCTCCCTACTTGTGAATGGGCACAACATTTGCGAACTTCCAATCTTCTGGGACTACTTCTGTTAACAATGGTTAAATAAATCTGTTAATGGTTGTGATAGTACACCCCTAAGCTCTTTTAATAACTTTGGGTTTATTCCATCAGGTCCCATTGACTTATTTGTCTTTACTTTTGACAGTTGAAATAGAACCTCTTCCTCTGTAAACTCACATGTAACAAATGACTTTTTTTTTTTTTTTTCTGGGCAATTTTATCTTCTGTGTGAGATTTGGAAGCTTTTTTTTAACTTGCTTAGCCTCTTTCTGCTTAATCTTATAGATCTGTATCTTCATCACTCTGGTGTGGTTTTTTTTATAAATAATTACTAAATGCTAACGTTTTTTACTATTTTGGCCACAGTGGTTTGTTGACTTCTTTTTGCTTTTATTGACAAGCCTAATGCAATTTTCTGTTGCCTTCAGCAGTGCAATTTTTAAATAATCCCATTTCTCTTGGACTCCATTTAAATTGCTCCAGTCTGACTCCTGTACACATTCTAATTTTAGAAAAGTCTTTTTCTAAAGTCTAAAACTTGTGTGGTGTGACTCAGTCACTGTTCTTATATTAAACCACACTGGTCACTGGATCCTAAACTTTCACCTACAGTAATATCGGATACAAAGTCTCCATTTGTTAACACTAAATCTAGTATGGCCTTACGAGTTGGCTCCTCAACGACATGTTTTAGACAATCCCAGTAGGGAGTTTAGAATGTGTGCTCCTGGCACAAGCAGCTATTTTGGTTTTCCAGTTCACATCAGGAAGATTAAAGTCACCCATTGTCACTTTAGCGATTTCCTCAACTAGTAGATATCTAACTTCTGCCCTGGGAACCTATAAATCACACCTACACAAGTTACTGCGTGATTACCAAGTTGTAACGTAACCCAAAAGGACGCTCTGTTCGCCTCCTAACTTTTATTAGGCTAGATTTTATGCTATCCTTCACATACAGGGCCACCCCTCCCCCTTATTGCCTTCCCTGTCTCTTCTATATAGAGAGTACCCTGGTATTGCTATGTCCCAGTCATTTTTCTCATTATACCATGTCTCAGTAACAGCGACTAAATCTACATTATCAGTTGCCATTATTGCCACAAGTTCATGGATCTTATTCCCTAATCTGCAGGCATTTGTAGACATGACTCTAAGCTTTTTTTTAACACACTTGCTGCTGACACCTTCTGTCCTTGTTTTGAGGGGCAATTGGATTGATGTTTTATCACCCTTTTGCTACCCCCTATCTAGTTTAAATACAGCTCACTGGAGGAGAATGTTAGAAACCCAGTTACCTTATGAGGAAAAAGCTCTCTAGACAATAATTGCTTTTTGGGGATCTGGATAAGTTGATGTATCCTATACGACTGCTGTATTTGGTCTGATATATTTCTGGATCACCAAATAAACATTTGTTTGCCCCAAGTATTTGGGGTTATATGCTGCTCTATTTCCAATCGTTGATCCAATTTTTCAGGGTTCTAATGATACACCCTCTGATGTGGCTTAAAGCTTAGTTGTACTCTCTTATTAACCCTAGAGTACCACGGTTTGAAATTAGACTATCTCTAGGTCTAATTAGACCACGTCTTATTTGGGAATCTACTTTTCAAACCGATGTAGTAGTTTACAATTGAGACTCTAAGCTACCGACCAAAATACTACAGCCATTTTAATATTAAATGGATAGGATCATTTATGGGGAATACATTTTAGGCAACACAAAGCCTGCTGGTTTACCAATTGGATTATTTATACATCTATCCTTCATTATAAAGTGTTAACTTCCAGGTTCAGTGTTATATGTTGCACTCACCTTTTATCAGCCTGTCTACTTGATGGTACCCTAGAGGAATCTCTGAGGAGAAACTCCTTATTTTCTCTATCATATGGGATTGAAAATAGCTTCTCCATTGGCTTGGTTAAAAGTGTAACTCATGTGGAACTCAAAATGTTAATTTTTACTTCTTGCACAATGGAGCAAAATCCAGCATTCACCTCCATGGCTGCTGGCTCTCTTAAACAATTCCCAACGAAGCATTGACGTCTAAATTGTTGAAAATAAAAATTGCAAAATGCACTAGTTTTACCAGTTTTATTTTAATCGCAGAGGTTTGTTTTTAAATTTTGGAATCTCAATCTTTCTTTCTGTAGGCAGAATATGAGTTTATAAGCTCCGGATTGTACCTGGTTGTGTTGCTTCACTTGTGTGAGCAGCGTTTTTCTGACATGCTGGGAGCAGCGAATGAAGCAAGCAGCAGGGTTAGAGTGAGTGTTTTGTTTTTTTTTTTGTTTTTTTAATTTACTACATTAACCTTTTTAGAAGTATTGCAGACACCACTACAAAACTTAATGACACTTTAAAAAAATAAATATATACATTTTTCTTTTTTTTTTTTTTTTTTCCTTCTAGTTTATAAACCTTGCACGGACACTCCAGGCACACATGGAAGACCTTGACAGTAAGTACTTATAGAAAAACTGTTAATGCACTTTATTGGTTATTTCAATAAAATACTAGTAACTTGTGTTTGAGGTAACGACCTAAAATCTATTAACCCCTTAAGGATTGAGCCAAATGTACATGTTTTGATCAAAATAAAACATAAACAAAACTTGGAATTTGACTGTCCAACCGTAATTCACCTTTCATATTAAGTGCACCCTCACTTATTATATATGTTTTTTTCAGGAGAAATGGGGCTTTTATTTAACATCAAATATTTAGCTATGAAACCTAATTTAACCCCTTAAGGACACACCTTCAAAAGCTTGTCTTACCCTTAAGGACACAAGACTTTTTTGTGGTTTGTGTTCAAATGCAATTTGCATCTGTCATTTATTGCACCAACACATATTATATACAGTTTTTCAGAGTGCAAACAGGGCTTTAATTTTTTTATATATTTTTAATTCTTTTTTGTCGTGCATATAGAAAACATAGATGCAGGCATCGCCACAACAGCAGTTGCCAGCTAAAATATCAACATTCAGAACAACTGTGGTGTCTATGAACAGTGCACATTTTATAGTAAAAGGTACATTAGAAGAGACATTGGTAGGAACCAGCCATTTTACCCTGTGTGGATAAAGTCAGATTGTTATAATCCAGTTTAGGTGGTTACCCCTTGCCTATAGACTGTGAGTATCCTTATTGAGGTCAGCCATTAGTTGGCTTGGGGGAAGGGGGGGGGGGAGAGAGAGGGAGAAGGAGAAGAGAGAATGTGCTCAAGTGTGGCTATGTTGTATGGGGACACGTTTAACATCGGTTGCATAATGTGTAAACTTCGGCTTGCTGGTATCGCGTTGTGCGTGCATATTAAGCGAACAGAACATTTGTGTAGTTATAATGGTGGTTTCACAGGCAGTGAAAAAGAGTAGCATTGGATACGAGGGAATAAAATAAGAACATGTGTAAAAGAACCAAACCGTAAATGAAGCAATTTCTAACTTTGGTATACACTTGGAGTGTGACTGGTGGAATGGAAAGTCCCCTAAGGTGGGCCTGCCTCTAGTTTCTTAAGTGGGAGGCCTGGCAGGTGAGGCTCTTGGGGTTTTTCTCAGGGTGAATTCTCAAATGGCCGGGTTTATCAGGGACAGTCCTGTTCCAGTTGTTGTTGCAGCTAGCAGTATACCTGCTGATTTCAGGTGCAATTCAAGCTCCTGGTAGCCTTGTGCTCTGTGTGAAGTCCTGTTGTGGGTGAACTTTTTTTTTTTTTTTTTTTTAGGGTATTACAGCAGTGTGACTGTTTGTTAAAATAACCCCACAAAGTGCTCTCATTTGGTAAAGCAGACACTCCAGGGTACCTTATATGGTGTATATTGTGCTTTAACTTGTCACCATTTTTAAACCAATTTATGTCAGTTTGTGGTGATGGTAAAATGACACCACACCTTATAACCCAATTTGGTGACGAAATATGAGGGAGCAGCCAAGCTAATGAAAGTCTGTAATTTTGTTGAATATTTTTAAAAACACTTTCCCTATCAGGCTCATTCAGTAAGATTTGGTAGAAATCTTTAATGTATTACATTTCTACCTCTTACATATATCTCCAGACTGACAAATTTCTCTTACAGCTTCCGAAGATGAGTCAGAAGATGAACGAGTGTGAAATGCTGGTCAGGCCAACTCTGCGTTACTTCAACTTTGACTGTACAATCAAAGAATTAGTCAAGAGAGCAACAGATGTGTTTGAGATTTATTTGTAACCTTTTTTGCTTTTGCCTCAGCAACTCACTATGTGGCCCTCTTTAAACTTGTTGCACTTGATAATATTAAGCAGTCTTTTTAACAATTAAAAAAAAAAAAAAAGCCAAACTGGTACTCTAGGATACGTGGGAACATTTCTAATGTATGCCTTTTTTTCCCTTTAAATTCAAAACCCTCCTTGAAATATTCCCCAGCACCTCACTGTTTTGTTTCTATATCTGTTCATCTTAAATATGAAATTGCAATCCCTCTTTTTTAAAGTTACCAATGTTTTGACAGATGGAGGATTACTCACACCCCCACCCCTTTAAAAAAAAAAAAAAAAAAAGTATGCCTTAAGTTGCAGGTTCTCATCTTCTAATCTTGACTCAATTTTCTTTGGCTGTTTGAAATGAGGGGATTCTGTACAGATATTCTATTCTGTTACCAGATTTTGATTCAACATGTACGAACGAGGCAATGTTTTAGGCATTTTTTTTCCTTCCTAATGTGAGATTTTTATTCTCATGTTTGTCTTTTACAGACCATGCATAGCACATTTAAAAAAAAATAAAAAAAAAATCTAATACTTTCAATTGAAAGACATGGATATTTAATGCAATTTTAATCACCTCTAATTCCTGAAAATGTTAAACCCCTTGTGTATTCACTTAAAACACTGATCTATAATTTGTTATTTTATGTTGGAATAATAAAGCTAATGTGTTAATATGCGTTTATGTATCCTTATCATGCCTCAATTTGGTGGTTATAAAAGAGTAAGTATTGTCAGACAAAATGGGGAAAGAGTTGAAGACGATGCTCAAATGCACTTGCAGTCTAAAACCTTAAAGGACATCCGTAAAATGGTGTAATGTTCCATTTTAATAGACAAATGTGGGGCAGTCACCTTGGAAACCAATAAGATAGCAGGCTCATTCAGGTCTGGTTTCAGATCTTGGCTGTCACAAATTGTATTTACCTTTGCTGTGCAATTTCAGAATGCAATAACCAAATCCCTAGAGACATACTTTGTGGCTTTGGTTAACTGCTAAATTCAAAATCGGTTTGTTGGATGTGCATTTTCTTGGTAAAGCATCTTAAAGGCTGTTAAATCAGCAGATATCAAGAACCAGAACTTCAATTTCTGTATGAATAGCATAAGTCCAAGCTAGCTAGAATTGTTAAAATATAATTTATCATAAATTGCATATTCACAAATGGCATGGTGTAAAGGCTCTTCAGTTCTAACTGCAGATATTAGCCACTGTTTAGTCACTTTATTTATTTTTATCTGATTAGAAATACACATGCAGTCAACAAGCTATTTTTGTGAAGAGGTAGATATTAGGCAGAATCCTCTTCAATGCCTCCTACTAATCCAATCTCGTCGCTGTATGGAGTAACTTGTAGTAGTGATGCTACATTTCTTGTAAATCCAAAGAATGTCCTCCTTTTGTACAACACAAGGAGAGCAGCCGATAGCAGTGGTACAAGAAGAGTTATAGACATAATCAAAGCAATTGGTAAGACTCTTTGATCTGCAAGAGAGTCCAATATAATAAAGTAAGCAAGGTTTCTGTAACTATAGATTTTATTTTAAACTTTGTGTTTTTTTTTTTTTTGTTTTTTTTTTTTTTGGGGGGGGGGGGAATTTAATCTGGAGATTCAGCATAAAAAAATTTCACCAAAATCACAGCTTCAAGTAGCTGATGGGGAGATTAACGGGTACGTACTGTGCTCACATGGTCTGCACCTCTTTTAGGTGCAGGTCCTTTACTGGTCCCTGGCACTTGTAACTCGAGCACTCAATCTTAGTGACATGGCTGATCCAGAGCAGTCCACTGTGATCTGCAACCACTAGAGGTCCAAACACTCACTGCCTGCTATAACGTAAATAATCTTGATCCCTTGTTGAAAAGTAATTTGGAAGGGATTTTTATTTATGTATACAGACTAGTGAAAAGGCTTTATTTATCAAATATTTTACCAGGAGGGATACAATGAGATTTCTCTAGTCTTCAAGGAGGTCCTGGGGCCACAAACTGCATTGTTACAATAGGGTACAATATAATACAATATACACACTGTGTAACAAATGGTCAACCATGACAGGTGCATTCTGTATTGAGGTATGTTGTCATAGATCTCTTAAAGGATTTTAGATTGAATGAAGATTTGACTGTCCATGGGGTTAGATCATCATTTCTGTGCTCTCTATGAAGATTAGGATTGTGCTACTTTATTTTTTGTATAGCAGTATGCTAAAGAAAGTGCTGGTACTGGATCGGAGGTTAGCTGGGGAAGGGGAATTCTACTAGGGGAGGGTGGGAGCGTCCCAGAAAAGTCCTTATGCACAAGTCCGCAAACACACCGCCTCCCTATATGCCACTACAACAGCAGCCTCTACACATAGACTTGTGAGAGACCGTTGGGAAAGCTCTACAATTGGTATGAGAGGGGGTGAGAACTGCGAACTTGATGCTGAAAAAGAAATATGAAGACCAAAAATGGCTGGCAGAGGGTAAACTATAGAGGGGGGAAAATGGCAGATTATATGGAAATGGGCACTTTTTTTTTTTTCTCTTCCTCTAAGGCAGTGGAAATACTTTCACAGACATGGAAGTCTGTATATGAATTTTTGTCTGTACAGAGTTAGTATTACTGAAAAGGCTTTATATGCTCTAAGAGCAGGCTGCACTTATGATATAAAGCAGGAAAGGATAGACGTGCAAAGACCAATTTTTCCTTCACTCTGGGGAGGTGGTCAGTCCATTAACTCTGTTGTAAATTGAACATGAATGGCAAAATTTAGGCAACGTGCGTATAATGGAGTAAAATTTATGCAAATCCGTAATCTGCCAATCACACTGCAGTTTAGTGAATAAATACCGTGCTGATTAGACTGTGAATCTAAAACATTAAGGCAAACTATAAAAAACAGCCAAGTCACGGCTTTCTATTTTTTGCCTGCGTTTTAAAATTCTGGTTTAAAGTCACTACAATTTCCTGTTTAGTGAACAAACTATAGTGTGTGGCTTTGAATAAAGTGACAGACATTTTAACATTCACAGACAGGGTGTCCATTATGAAAGGTTGGAGACAGGATGTTTCCATTAAAAGTGTTGTAGAGAAACTAGAATGTCTATTCCAAACAGTCAATGCCACTGTTGGTTTTATTCAGGCCTTCGAGAGAAAACCCTAACCATTTCTTGTTTAAAATAAGGGCCAGTAACCAGACTCATAAACATGTTAATGAATATCATGACAATTCCTCTTATTAGTTTTATATTTACTAAACTGCGCTTTAATTTTTTTAGATTTTTTTTTCAGCAGTAAAAACTTACCAGCTTGTTTAGGGGCTCCATGTTTACCTAAAATAATAAAACATTTAACAATTATTTCAATTATACAATTCATATTAATGCTATCTTCCGGAACCACCTTTACGTTCTCTAGACGTTTTGTTAACATTGTTTGCATTTAAATGGTAACAGTAAGACCTATATACACATACATTCAAAATGTTTAAAGGGATTTTCCGTGCACCATAACCACTAAAAAATGGTGTAGTGGTTATGGTGCCATCAGTCGCTCAAGTGTTTATTTTTTTTTAATTTTTTATATATTAACCAAACTATTTTCAATGTATTTCACAATTCTGGAGGATTCCCTGGAACTTCCATTAAGACATTATACAGAGAATTCATTTCACTTCATTAAAATGTGTAAACTGCACATTGCAGCTCGGCGTTCTTCTGAATGATCTGCACATGCGCGAATTTCCCTTCTTAAAGTTACAGGTTTCCTAACAAATCTTAAAGTGATAAGCACTTCTGTTCCTAAAGAATTATCTTCAGTACTGCCTGGGTAATTTCTTACTCAACTTAAGGTAAGATTATATTATTACCTTCTAACTTCGGTATAATCATAGGTTATAAATAAGTGCCAGGAATAAAAATCTTCTCACTTCATAACCTTTATTCATTTTTATAGATGTCTTCTCCCTCTGCCTCCCATCGCTCAGGTTCAAAGAAACATAGGTGAGCCAACATTTTTATGTATATAAGGGGATTAAAAGACTGCCATACGGGCCCCATAGTCACTTACATGGCCTTTCTCATTTTGCAGCCCAAGTATGAGCCAGGATAGATCCCCCAGGAAACATCTAATCGCTGCTTGGCCTGCAACAAGACTGCTCTAGAGGGTAAAAACTTATGCCTCACCTGTATGTCAGAAGTGGCAGACATCCAGCCCAGGAAAAGTTCCCCTCAAGAAGAACCTAAAACCTGGATATCCAAAGCCATAGCTGAATGCTTCAAGGCTTCTACAAAACATACCTCCACTCGAAAACTTCATAGTGCTGAAACCTCTTCTACATCATCTGAGTTGGACTCCTTCGAGGATATTTCTGATGAAGAGGAGGCGCATACGGAGTAGGCCCTAAATCCTTAGACTCCAAATCTGTTGAGAAGCTTATCATGCTAATAAGGAATACCCTAAAATTACAGGGAAAAAAGACAGAATACCTAGAATCTGACAAATATTTTGAAGACCTCAGATCTTCCAAACCCTCATTTCCAGTGCATCCTTCTATCAAGGATATGATCCTTAATGAATGGGCCAGACCAGAGACGAAAGTTACCCTTAAAAATAAGAATCAGAGGATATATCCCTTTGCCTCCAAGGATTGCAAGACTTGGACTGCAATCCTAAAAATAGATGCTGTAATAAAAATTGCGAAACGTACTACGTGTCCCATTGACTCCATGGCATATTTACGGGAACCAATGGAGAAAAGCCTGGATGTCAACCTAATAAAAGCCTATCTCTCTTTGGGCTCAGCCTGACACCCAGCCATAGCTCTTACCACCCTGTCCAGAGCTATGAAAGTTTGGTTAGACAACCTGGAAGAAGATATCTAAAGAGGAGTAAGAAGAGAACACCTTCTGGATTGTAGGCAGCAGATTTCCGTTCCGAAGCATCCCTGGATATATCCATGCTGATTGCCAAAATCATGGCATTATCTATCTCAGCCAGAGGAGCCCTGTGGCTACACTCTTGGGGAGTTGACTACTCTTCAAAAGTCTCCCTTTGTGCTCTTCCCTTCCAGGGTGACCTCCTCTTTGGAAAAGTCCTCGATGAGGCCACCCAAAAAGCTGCCGACAGCAAGAAAGCTTTCCTACCTCAAGTGAAGAGAAACCCATACTCGACCTCATGGAAAGATAAGAGGTTTTGAGACAATAGATCATATCGACCAGGGAAAGAATATAACAGATATGCATCTTGGAGATCCTACCTGCCTCCTTCCTCTTCCTCTAAAACCAACAGTGGAAGATGATCTAGAGTCCCTTCAAAAAACTTATGAAGGTTTACAGGCCCATACAGAATACTTAGGAGAAAGACTTCAACATTTTCGATCTGTCTGGGTCATGTCCATCCTAGATCAAGGCTACAGAATCAAATTCGACTCCTTTCCTCCATTCAACTCCTTCATAAAGTCAAGAAAACCCTCGGGAGAAAAAGGGGAATCCTTGATTGCAGGTGTCAATAAACTACTTCTCCAAGGTGTTATAGAAGAGGTACCTCTTTCAGAAAAATACAAAGGCATCTATTGGACAGTGTTCTTGGCCCGAAAACACAACGGGAAATGGAGACTGATTATAGATTTGAAAAACACCAACGTATTTCTAAAACGCCTATCGTTCAAGATGGAATCCATATCCACTATTATTCCCAACATCAACAGAGGAGATTTGCTAACGTCCATAGACCTGAGGGATGCATATTACCATGTTCCCATCTACCCTCTCCATTGCAAGTTCCTCCGATTTCACATATTAGGACAGCATTTCCAATTCAGAGGCCTTTCTTTTCGTCTTAAGCCTTGCCCCAAGGACCTGCTCAAAAATCTTAGTGGTTCTTATAGCAAATCTAAGACAACAAGGTCTAGTCATATTTCACTATCTAGACAACATATTAATAGTTGTTCTTCAGGATTCCTCTCATCACACTATACAAGACCTGAACTGTCAAACAGAACACGGTTGGATTATCAACAAGGAGAAGAGTTCTCTGAATCCATCCCAACACATAACTTTCCTGGGTGCCTACATCAACACCAAAGTAGCAAGGGTCTTTCACTAAGAGAGGATGAGCAGACTGGAAAACAAGATTCTCTCAGCCCTCCCCCAATCTTCCATAACAGCCAAGGAGTACATGAGCATTCTGGGATCACTAACTTCAACCATAGGATTAGTCCGTTGGGCTCAATGGATCTCAAGAACAATCCAATTAAATTTCCTGAATCAGTTAAACATCCATTGCAGCAACTGGAATCAAATGATTCAAATTCCACAAATAGTAAAAGATCAGTTGGTATGGTGGCTACAGCGAGACAACCTATAGAGAGGTTTTCCTTAGAAGATCCGCCTTGGCAAATTGTCACCACAGATGCGAGCATGACAGGTTGGGGTGCTCACACGGAATCTACATGGATTCAAGGCACTTGGAATCCATCAGAGAGGTACCTTCACTCAAACCTGCAGGAATTGAGAACCATATACATTGCACTACGGAGACTCCATGGGGCTCTTCATAGCCCTTGGATATCCATACGGACAGACAATAGAGCAGTGGCTGGATACATAAATCACCAAGGAGGCCCAAGAAGAAAACTTCTCTTACGAGAAATTACTCCACTGATGTCCTGGGCGCAAGTTCATATCAAGGGGATGAAATCGGTCTACCTCCCAGGGAAGGAAAATATTCTTGCAGATTTTCTCAGCAGAACTCAAATACTACCAGGTGAGTGGAGCTTGAACCCCAGTGTGTTTCAGGCTCTGAAGGAAGAGGTGGGGCATACGCCAGATAGACCTAATGGACAACAGAAGGAATTCTCAGATGACAAGCTACTTTTCCCTCTCCAATGACCTAGCTTTGGGTCGAGATGCCCTTTCCCATCCTTGGAACTATGACCTGGGGTATGTGTTCCCTCTCCTGCCTCTGATTCCTCGGGTACTGAGAAAAATCAAGAAAGAAGGTGATAGCCATTATCCCGATCTGGCCAAGGAGACCTTGGTATTCCCTTCTCGTGAGAATCTCTCTGACCCATCCTTGGTTACTTCCAATATCCCCGCACCTTCTCATCCAGGGTCCTGCGACTCACCCCAACCCATCCAGCTGGAATCTGGGGGCCTGGCTACTGAAAGGGGATCCCTCCTTAACCAGGGACTATCCGAAGCAATGATTACTACTCTCCTGAAGGCAAGGAAACAGTTAACATCAGCCTGCTATTACAGAATTTGGGAAACCTTTCAAAAATGGGCAGTGGCAAAGGCTTGTGATTATCTACACCAAGCATGTCAAACTCAAAGTCTGGCACGGGCCACATAAACAAGGTTTAAGTTTATGTGGGCCGCAAAAAAACCCCCAAACTTTACATTTTCATAGAAACGTAGGTTTATTTTAAAAAGTACAGTATAAAAAAAAACCACAGCACCCCCCTCTACTAAATCCCAGTCCTCCCTCCCTTTCCTAAACCACAGCACGACCCTGTGCCAAATCTGATCCTCCCGCTGACACACACATATTCACTGACAGACAGAAACACACATACAGACACACTGGCACACACATACTCACTGACAGACACACACTCACTGAAAGACACACACACACACACATACAGACACACACACATACTCACATACTCACTGACAGACACCCACATACTTGTTGACAGACACACACACAGGCACACTCATACTCACTGACAGACACAAACACACTCACACATATACTCACAGACAGACACACACATACAGACACACTGACAGACACACACTCACCGACAGACACACACACACACACACATACACACACATACTTGCTGACAGACAAACACACACTCACTGACAGACACACACACATACTCACACTCACTCACTGATAGACACACACACACACATTCTTTTCCTTATTGCTTCTTACCTTTTGGAGCTGATGTGGGGCATCTCCTTGGGGTCTTTCTATCTGCTCCTCGCTGCTCCCTTGCGCGGTTTAGTAATGCTGAGTGTCGGAATATGATGTCATATTCTGGTACCCGGCTTCACTTCAGAAGGCGCGCGGGAGGGAGCAGTGAGGAGCAGGAACACTGAGCTCCCTCGCTGTCGCCAGAGACCCCCCGGCTGTGTAAATGAGCATAGTAGGCACCTGCAATGTAGGGAGAGCAGGTGCCTACTCTGCTTGGAACATTAGGCATGTACTTGTGGCTCGCTGGGCCGCAAAGATGGTCCTTGTGGGCTGCATGCGGGCCGCGAGTTTGACATGCTTGATCTACACCCTACTCACCTCCATGTTCTGGAATTTCTACAGGCAGGCCTGGACAGAAGTCTCAGCACCTTGAAGGTGCAGTCCTCAGCCCTATCGGCCCTTTGTAATACCTCATGGGCATCTCACCCACTCATCTCAAGGTGAATATCCATATGCACCTCTGCAGGATATCCCCATTCAACACCTCACTCATAAAACAGTGTTCCTGGTGGCAGTCTCCACATCCAAGAGAATTTCAGAACTCTAGGCATTCTCTAGTGATGAGTAACACACATATTTGTCATGATTGAGTGACCCTAAGACCTAGTAAAGACTTCCTTCATAAAGTCGCTTCTAGATTTAATCTTCTCCAGGAAGTGGTTCTCCTTTCCTTCTGTTCTTCCCCATCTTCTCCCGAGGAAGAGCGACTCCATGAACTCGATATGAGAGAACTTCTCATTAAGTACCTATCTGTTACTTCTGACTTCAGAAAAACTAAAAAATTATTTGTCCTTCCTTCTGCCCTTCGTAAGGGTGAACCGGCCTCTTCCTCTACCTTAAGGAGATAGATAGCTTCTCTCATAACATCCTACCTTCAGAACAAGCTGACTCCTCAGGCCAAGATCAGAGCTCACTGTACCAGATCCCTGGCTACATCTTGGGCTAATTGGGCAGAGGTTCCTCTGGATGACATCTGTAGGGCAGCTACTTGGTCCACTCCAACAAACTTTATTGAGCACTACAAACTGGACCTTTACTCTAAGTCTACTTCCTTTGGGAGAGGAGTCTTATCTGCAGTTAACATGCATAATAAAAATTAGATATAGTTTGCAGCAATTTTAGTCTGTGTCTATTTAATTTGTCTTCCCTCCCTTTTAAGGTTTTCAGCTTGGATATTACCCATTAGTGATGCTGCCATGATTAGCCAGGAATAAGGAAAATTTAATTACATACTTACTTAGTAATTTTATTTTCCTGGCTATTTATCATGGCAGCATCAGTCACCCACCCTTCTTTCTTTTTAACTTGACTGAGGTATGGAAGGAGGAGGGACCGTTCATGCCTCCAGCCTCATTCTTTCTCTCTTTTTTTATTGGTTTATCCTGTCTTGATCTGGTTAGGTGTGGAGCTACCCATTAGTGATGCTGCCATGACAAATAGCTTTTCCCAATAAAGTCTTCTACATGTTTGTAAATGAAAGGCTAATTATGTATTCAGTGTTCTGGAGAAAAAAAAAGTGCAGGATAATTTACTTTTAAAGTATGCTTGCCACTTCTGTGGGCTCAGCAATTTTATTTAAAATTTTAACTCTAAGATCCTTCAGACGACATCTACTTGAGGATATATCTGGGGGTAGATATACAAACTCATTGGGGCTACCATCTTTCCATCAACTTCTGGCAGGTAAGTTTGCCAGAGATCACATTATCTGTGCAAAAAAAAAAAAAGAATGGGTACTATCAAAGAAGCTCTGCTTGTACAATGAGAACACAAGCGTATATTTTACATCATGTGACATGATGCCTGTTTTCAAAAGATGTTGCAAGAAATGGCCATGCACATATCTGAAAGTCAATCAATAGTCCAGACTCCAGATTTTCATTTTAGGCCTAACTAAGAAATTGGTCCAGGCATAGTTGTATTTTGACTTACGTATGGCTTTTGAAATGCATTTTTTTGGTGTCTTTGCTACATACTTGCTTTTGTTTTGCATAATGTTCCAGCTTGACTGAAGTCTTCACAGCTGATAAGATCCCATTGACCAGTCGATGTGTCCATCTTGGCACATGTGATCAAACCCATGTCAGTTTGCTCCTCATTGAAGTTTGTATAAGTAAATTCAGATGTATCAAGCCATTTCAGAGTGTCGTCTGTCAATAAAATATTTTAATATTTTAGTGAATCCCTACAGGGCATGCTGTCATTTTTCCATCTTAGGGTAATCAAAAGGCCTTGGAACATTTAATAAATGCAGACGCAAAAAAAAAATGGAATATATATATAAAAAATGCATACAATTTTTGTAGAGTATCAATAGTTTTCAACTTTTCACACTTCACTGATTAATATGACTATCAGATGCAGGAGAAGGATGAGTCTACCAGTTCACTATGCTTACCCAGTAGTATTAGTGAGTTTGTATGAAGGCATTTCATTTAAAAAAAATGTTTTTTAACTATATTTCAGTATATATACATAGACTCTTACTCCTGGACGCTTGCTGAGCATTATAGGAAAAATGAAGCACAGAAACAGTCAAGCCATGAATCATAATGATTTCATGCAGACTTTATTTAGAACCTGTGATGATGTATGAGGTCCATGGGATGCTGAATCAGCAAATATAATTTTACAATAATCACAAAGGGATTGTATCTAGTTGCTTAGAAGTGGTTTTTCAGCCTCTTTCAATCCTCTCTTTACTCAAAACTTTGATCACACATTCTCAATCTCCTACCTGGATCAAGGGCTGTTGTGAGGGGCGCATGGGCTGAGAGTGGGACAGGGGCTAAGAGGGGATACAGGAGCTGAGGGTGGGGAACAGGGGTAGTGGTGGTGGTCTTTAAAAAAAAAAAAAAGGGTATTCCCCTCTCCCCTTACCTTGGGCCAGGGAGGGATTGCAGTTAGTGAAGTCAGCCGGCCTCTCCTGAGGATGTCAGGAGGAGAGGGTGTGATTTACACTGCTACCAGACCAGAGAAGAGCATTGGAAGTCATGCCCCCTCCTCCTGACATCCTCAGGAGAGGACAGCTGACTCCACTGGCTGCAGGCTGCAGGGAGAGACATCGAAATCGTCGATTTCCCGTAGGAAAGCATTGGGAGGATAGTGTCTGATAGAAATAGCAGAACATTACTCTATTTCCTCAAAATCGCCTCTAGTGGCTGTATGAGTGACAGCCACTAGAGGCAGTTAAACCCTGCAGGGTTAAAAACGGAGGGCAAAAGGCACCCAAACCACTTTGTGAGATGAAGTGGTCTGGATGCTTAGGGTGTCCATTTAAACAAACTTCGACTTTTGTTTGCCATTTCAGAGAGAGTCTAGTTCTAAAACAGTCCTAAACATAGTGACTATAAACTTACCATCACTATCGTAGAACAAACCCAGCAGAATTCCATTAGGACCTTTCCATTCTGTTTGAAACATATGCAATATGAAATTATTTTCTTCTTGAGTGTTGATACTTATAATGTTGGAACCTACATCTGAAAAACAGATTTTAAGAAATCACAACATAAAGCACGCCCTACTAGTCACCTTACTACATTGTATTTTTATTAGATATTCACTGTAAGGTGTAGTCACAGAAACAAAAATTTTGGATAACCGATAAGAGGATTGCACACTATAAGCCAAAAGAGCCAACTCAGAAAAATTCTTCTATTGAAGAAATCCTCCACATTCTCCATGCTTCCGTGGCCCATTGCGCAACCTCTCAGAATGTGGTATTTTATAAATAAGCTCAATTCCTGTGTCAAGGAGGACGGGGAGTATTGTAGGAAAACTTTCCTTGACACAGAAAATGGGGCTGACTTAAGCTCCTCCTTGTGTCAGAGAATGTCAGGCATAGGAAAAATACATAAGACAAAATAGTCCCTTTGTCTTATGTTTTAAAGAAAACTAGATCAGAAAAGAAAAACAGATTCCGAGGAAACAATACACTGACAGACACACATACACATTGACAGACACACATACACACACACACAAACTGACAGACACACTCACTCACACACACTGACAGACACACATACTCACATGCACACACACACTCACAGTAATTAATAATCTAAATTAAATTTAAATTTCCCACCCAGCCTCTCTACCTGGAGAGCTGGCGTGGGTCTCTCATTGGTGGTCCAGTGGGGCTGCTGGGAGGCGTGCGGCTGAATTGGATGCCGAGGTGGCGAGGGAGCCCTGATCTCTCTGATCTGCTCCCTCGCAGGCTGTTTACTGATGCCGCGGGAGCCGGAATATGACATCATCAGTAAACAGCCTGCGAGGGAGCAGATCAGAGAGATCAGAGCTCCCTCGCCACCTCGGAATCCAATTCAGTCGCACGCCGGGCAGGGGATCCAGAAGGTGACCTGGCAGGAGGGAGCACTTCCCTCCTGCCGGTCACTGGAATTTTGCGCCCCCTGAGCCAGTGCGCTCTAAGGCGGCCGCCTGTGCCGCCTTATGGACGCACCGGCCCTGCTAACAGAGCAGGAGGTAAGTAATTCTAAATCAAACAGAATTTACAATAAAGGAAGTGTAAATATTAGATATCACTTTACAGGAAGTGTTTAGGAAGGCTGTGTAAGTCACATGCTCATGCAGGTCGGTGTCACTAGGGCATAAACAAAAGCTTAAATGGCAGAGAATTGAGCAGTGAGAATGCAGGGACATGATATGAAGTATTGCGCGATCACGAAGGAAAGGTAAGAATTGTGGGAAAATTGCTTTGACCACAAGAAACGGAGCACACTTTGTTCCTCCGCTGGTCAAAGCTGGTCAAGCGTGGGAAACCTCTAGAAGACAAAGTAGTCCCTACTTTGTCTTATGTTTTTAAAAAAACTAGAGCAGATAGGAAGAAATGAAGAACAGATCCTGACAGAGGGAGAGAAGAGGAATCGATTAAAGAAAGGTAAGTTCGGCATGACAATGTCACTTTAAGATTTTACAAACGGTATTGCACATGACAATGTATGGAAAATAATGTGATAAACTTGAGTTCACAATTCAGTTTGTAAAATATAGTCTTAAAAAAATTACCAACCAATGTTTCTCAGATATCACTTGGTCAGTTCATTTACAACATTTCTAGCAAAACACTATATAAAACTATACCATAAATAGGTATAATGCTCAAATATATATAAGAATTATTTAGTAAACAATTTAGTTAGTTGTATACTGTAATGTACAATTTGGGCCAGAATAGATGAGATAGAAATATAGCAGCCTATTGCATTAGGGTGTGCACCCTAAAGCACAAACACACATGCCACGTGTGTGTGTATGTATATGTATATATATATATATATATATACACACACACACACACACATATCCATACATATGTGTGTGATAGTGCTGGTAGAGTGCTGTGAGGGTGGTGTGTGTGTGTGTGATAGTGCTGATAGTGTGCTGTGAGGGTGTTGTGTGTGTGTGATAGTGCTGGTAGTGTTACGGGCAAATGCAAATATTACAAGTTTTAGAATGAAATGTTGTATTTCTTAAACTGTGTACTTTGTCTTTAAGAGATATTGCAAACTGACAAGGTGTTAGAAATGGAACATATTGTTTTTCATAACTGTTTCTTTAAGCAATAACCTCAGTGCATAATATGTTTGCGCCATTTTGTCCCAGACGAATTACAATAACAATAATGCATAAACAAGCTTCAAGGCTATTCTACGACACTTGCAGTACACAATATACTGTGGTAACCCCAAGTTAATGGAACTTCCCCAAATCCGGGAATCTCCCGCGACTGTACACTTACGACTTAGTATAAACAACAGATAACCTATTCAGACTTTAAGATGCCATCTTGAACTAAGTCAGGAAAATTTCCATGACGTATACACCCTTTAGTTATGGCCTTGTATGTTTGCCAAATTAAGGGAGGTCCTAAATTGAATAAAGTAAAAGAAGTGTTACTTTTTCATATTTGAACTACAGTAACCTAAAATGGAGACACCTAAGGTATAAATAGGTGTACTTTTAAATGTTAAGACACAGAGGAGAGACTTGGAGACAGACGCTGCTCCATCTTAAAATGACAGAGAGGCTGACATGATGACATGTTCAGAAGGGTATGTTAACCTATTAATGATATTTGCAAGCATGTAATTTAATCTTATAAACTCTGCTATAATGGATTTTATATTTTTATATAATAAATATCCAAAAAGACAATCTTGCTTCCAAGACAATCCTTATTTTATATTGTATTCTCAATTATTTATATATGTTAAATAGAGGATCTCTTACACTATATAAAATTATGGTTAAGATATCTGTATGGTTAGCCCTACTAAGTTCTATGCTTTAAGACATTATAGTGGTAAATAAGGGAACCACACACGGTTACAGTAGTGTGCCGTGTGTGTGTGTGTGAGGGTGCTGGTAGTGTGCTGTGTGTGTGAATTTGTTTGAAGTTATTGTGTGTGGGGTTGGGGGGAGGACGGAATAGTAAATAGCCCCCCTCCCTTCTTACCTTTTGCCTGGGAGTGGGGATCCTTGCTGCCATCCCTGGTGGTCTTAGTGGTGAGAGGGAACTCTAGCCTGTAGGGCTAGAGTTCACTCTCATGAGATTTGAGCGTTTGCAAGAGGAACCCGGTGGAACTGCTGGCTAGAGCTCCCCGGGTCCTCTCCTGCCTCTGGGCCGGTGAGGGAGATCTTTGATGTCCCCACTGGCCCATGGAGGCACACAGCAGGGAGTGCCGGCTCTGCATGAACCCAACAAGGGAGATCCTGTGATCTCCCCTGCCGGCCTCGATCCATGCGGGGATTAGGGTGTGCCCCCCGTGCGCACGCCTATGGCTGAATTGGAGGGATTTCTCATTTATTTTGACCCAGCATTTGCCATTTGGTTTTAATGTTTCCACAAAATGCAGTTTTCAATCCATCACATGACACAGTTTTGAAAACAAACACTTGTGTCCTAATAAACCATACCGGGTTACTGGATCACGGTCAGTCATTCTTAATGTTTCCCCAATATAGTGTGTAATCTGTATGTGTGTCAATATTGTGTAATAACATTTATTTGTATAATACCTTTACAAAGTTCTTGCGCATGTTCAATATTCAATAAACTGTCAGACGCCGTATGTAGAAAGCTGTAACAGTTATTGTTATAATAGACCCAGGTGGGAAATGGACATTCTGCAAAGAAAACAAAACAGAACATCTTATAAAGTATAGAAAGCGATAAAACCGTAACTTTGTTATATGAATTTTTAAAAAGAAATGATTGTAAATGTAAAAAGAAAATCAGAACTATAACACGCGTTAAACATGTTAAATCACAAAACACATTTGTGTTCCATTTTCAAGTTTTCAAATTTATAATCTTCATTTCCATTTAAAATTTTTGTATACTGATAAAGGGACACTATGGGCTCCAACAGAACTTACATTTGATTTGTTTTGACCTTTATAATAAAGTGCGGTTTTTGCATGTTCCAATCTTAGTTTAAGCAGAAAAAAAAGGAAATCTTTTTGCTGAATGTTGCAACATAAATATGTCTCCTTAAAGGGTTACTCTAACCCTTTAAAAAAACGACAATTAATTTTGTACTTTAAAACACCCTAGTGCTCCCCCTATGAACCTGCAAATGAAATAGTAAACTTACCTTAAATCTATCAGCAGGCGATGCTCCCCTTGCTGGTTTTCACCCCCATCCAAAATCACAGACTCAATTTCTCTGGTGCAATCAAATGCACTGGCGTGCACTCTGAGCCTGATAGGAGAGGGAGGAAAGGAGTGGATGGACAGAGGACTTTTACTGGAGGAAGGTAGAAGGAGCACTTGGAGGGAACTAACACTAAAACAACCCCTTGAAAGGGTGGTGTCGGCGAGGCAGAACCACATACCATCTTTTGCCTGTCTGCTGATGACAGATGTATTTTTTGCATGGAATTATGTGACTGAGCTCCTGTGCTCCGAGTGAGTACCTACTCCAGGTCAGCTTCTTTGCTACGACTAGTGGTCTCTGGAACACTTCCTTTCAGACCAAATCTGTTAGTGGATGGGGAGTCATGGGTTGGCTGAGTGCATCAGCTTACCGCTCTCAGCCAATCAGCGTTGCCCCTGCCGTGGCACGCTTCCTGAAACTCCACGCATCCTGAAAGTGAAAATTCAGAAAGAAAATCCTGCCAGAGGGGGAGTGGACATCGCCGCTGGAGGCAACCTTGGGGTTAATTAGTTTACCCCTTGAGGTAAAAGTGCTTCCTGGGGCCTCCTGGAAACCTCCAATGTCCCTTTAATTATTATTATTATTATTATTTTTATTATTATTAAGGTTAACAAATGTAAACCTCTTTAGTTTAGAAAAGGGTCGCATCAGAGGGGATATGATAACATTTTACAAATATATCTGGGGCCAATACAAACCATTGTGTGGAAATCTATTCACAAACTGGACTTTTCAAAGGACACGAGGTCATGCGTTTAGACTGGAAGAAAGAAGATTTTGTCTAAGGCAAATAAAATGTTTTTTTACTGTAAGAACAATAAGGATGTGGAATTCTCTGCCTGAAGAAGTGGTTTCATCAGCGTCCATACAGATGTTCAAACAGTAACTAGATGCATACTCGCAAAAACAGAATATTCAAGTTTTCAATATAGGGTAATAGCTGCTTAATCCAAGGATTAATCTGACTGCCATTCTGTGGTCAAGAAGGAATTTTTTTCCTAGTTTGTTGCAAAATTGGAAATGCTTCAAACTGGATTTGTTTTGCCTTCTTTTGGATCAACAGCAAAAAACAAATGTGAGGAAGGCTGAACTTGATGGACGCAAGTCTCTTTTCAGCTATGTAACTATGTAACTGTGTATTTATGCATTTTTCATGTGGGTTATATCTAAAAACAGCTTGGAAAAGCTACTGATCTCTTGTCTGCTGCCTTTGCAAGCCCTCCTCTTCTAGCCTCACCAATACTCCCTGTGTCTGTCCAATCACAGACTTCCCAATGCAGCTCAGTGCTCAGGCATGTGCTCTGGGCAGTTGCTGCCTCGTCAGTTTAGCTTCACTAATCTTATCAAACCAGGCACTAATGAAAGTATTTAGAAAATTGGGCAGACTAGATGGGCCGAATGGTTCTTATCTGCCGTCACATTCAATGTTTCTATGTTTCTATGTAACATGATCAGTTGTCTGACTGAAAGTGTAATAAAATCGTTTCTTCTGTGTGTTTTTCCAGGATGATTGAAATAAGTCTTTTATGTATGTTTCTTCTTGGGTAAAAGGCTGGCCATGTTAATATACGTCTATATTAACCAAAAATACTAATACACAGCCTGACTTACGGTTTCTTCAGGTTTATTATTACAGTTTCTGATACATAATAAAACAACAAAGGATGTTACAGGATAATGGATGTTCAACAGCAGATGTTAATTGCTGGACTTCTGAAGGGAGAGCTAGTCTACATAGTTAGAGAACAGCCGGACGAGAAAAACCTTGTGGTCCTTTGTTCATTATTCTATATAGAATGATGCCTATGAAGGCAAGCTGTCTGGTTTAGAAAGAGGGGACACCCATGTAGAAAGAGGGGACACCCATGCAGACATATTCAGTATTATTAACTAAAGTGAAAATTTTCAAAATTGAGTACAAAGTTAATGTCATGGGAGATGGGACTCCTCGTACGTGTTCCCTTAATTATACTTTGTATCATCTAATGTTTCCCTGCATTCGAATGGAATTATTCCCTTCTGATCGGTTACCGAACAGATTCTGTGAGGTCCTCTTGTTCACAAATCTTGTTTAGGCTTGATTGGAAGATTGTGCTTGTCCTATTCTAAATATGATAAAAATGAGGCTTGAGTATTAATCTGTAGATAGGTATTAATGTCTCTTTTGTACATATCAAAGGACCAGGGGCGGACTGGCCGCAGCACTTGGGGCCGGGGAGAGAACCCTAATACCTATAACTAAGCTAGATCTGTAATTTTCCCCTCAGACTGTGAGAGTTTGAAGGAATTATGGAGGGAGGGGCTTGAAGCCGGTGCGGCCGCATTGAGGATGCGGTGGCCGGAGGGAGCACTGCAGGCAATGAGCTTTCTGGCATCCAAACCCCACCCCCATTCCCAAGCTCCGCCCCTGATCTTAAGCTGCTGACTTCAGGGCAGGAAATTAAGTTCTCACCTCCCAGGGCTACCACAGCAGCAGCCTGCAATGCCAGGTAGACTTCGAATATACTGCAGCTAGTGAGTGAGAGTGATCTTGTTTGTGTCTGTGTGTGTGTGTGTGTGTGTGTGTGTGTGTGTATGTGCCTGTTGTTGTGAGCATGTATGTGTGTGCCAGTAAGCATGTCTGCAGTGAGCATGTCTGTAGTAAGCATGTATGTGTGTGTCACTGACAATGTCTATAGTAAGCATGTATGTGTGTCAGTGAGCATGTTTGTAGTAAGCATGTATGTGTGTGTCACTGAGCATGTCTGTAGTAAGCATGTATGTGTGTGTGTCACTGAGTATGTCTGTAGTAAGCATGTATGTGTTTGTCAGTGAGCATGTCTGTAGTAAGCATGTATCTGTGTGTCAGTGAGCATGTCTGTAGTAAGCATGTATGTGCATAGGCGTGCGTACGGGGTGTGCCGGGTGTGCCTGGGCACACCCTAATCCCCATGGCACGCCTATGGTTTGAGTCCTGCAGGAACAGCGTTCCTGCACTTTTTTGAGCAGGAACGCTGTTCCTTCAGGCCCTCAGCGCCCCCTTTCCCCTGTCATGGGGGGGGGGCAAGAGGTGATGGATCCCCCCCCTCTCCATCTCAGCCGTGGCGAGGGAGCTGTGTGCTCTCTGCTTCCTCTCGCCGCGCGCCGTTTGCTGATGCCAGGAGCTGGAATATGACGTCATATTCCGGCTCCCAGCTACTGTAGACAGCCCGCGCGGCGAGAGGGAGCAGAGAGCACGCAGCTCCCTCGCCGCGGCTGAGATGCAGACAGGCACCCGTCCCACTGGACCCCAGGGAAAAGTCCACGCCAGCACTCCAGGTAGGGAGGCTGGGTGGACATTTTTTAATTAAAATATAATAATTTGTATGTGTGTGTGTGTCTGTGTGTGAGTGTGTGTCTGTGAATGTGTGTGTGTCTGTGAGTGTATGTGTGTGTATGTATGTGTGTCTGTGTGTGTCTGTGAATGTGTGTGTGTCTGTGAGGTTATGTGTGTTAGTGTGTGTCAATGACTGTATGTGTGTGTGTCTGTGTGTGAGTGTATGTGTGTGTGTGAGTGTGTCTGTGAATGTGTGTGTGTCTGTGTGAGTGTGTGTGTCTGTGAGTTTATGTGTGTGAGTGTGTGTCTGTGAATGTGTGTGTGTCTGTGAGTGTGTGTGTCTGTGAGTGTATTAGTGTGAATGTGTGTGTGTCTGTGAATGTGTGTGTGTCTGAATGTGTGTGTGTCTGAATGTGTGTGTGTCTGAATGTGTTTGTGAGTGTGTGTGTACGCATATATATATATATATATATATATATGCACACACACATGTATATTATTTTTTTTGGAGGTGGGATTCCTGATCTCCCTTGTCGGCTCACGCAGAGCTGGCGCTATCTGAGTGCCGGCTCTGCTCTAAGCCTCCATGGGCCGGCGGGGAGACCAAAGATCTACCTCACCGGCCCACAGCAGCATGGAGGGAGGCAGGAGAGGACCCAGGGAGTTCTAGACAGAAGCTCCGCCAGGTTCCTCTCGCGATATCTGAGCGTTGCTGCGGCAACGCTCAGATCTCGCAAGAGTTAACTCTAGCCCCGCAGGCTAGAGTTCACTCTCCACTGGACCACCAGGAATGGCACATGGCAGCAAGGATTTACTAATCTGCCCCCACCTCCACAATCCCTCCAAACATACAGCACACACACACATACAGCACCTACACACATACAGCTCACACACACACAGTACACTAACCGCACCCTCACAAACACACTCAGCACCTTTAAAAAAACACAACACCCTCACACACAGCACACTAACAGCACCCTCACAAACACACACACACACAAACAGCACCCTCACAAACACACACACACACAAACAGCACCCTCACAAATACACACTCACACAAACAGCACCCTCACAAATACACACTCACACAAACAGCACCCTCATAGGACAAACACACACACACACAAACACCCTCTCACACAAACAGCACAGTCACAAACACACACACACAAACACCCTCACATCACACTAACAGCACACAGCACCCTCACACGGCACACTAACAGCACACACAGCAGTGTATGTGTGTGTGTGTGTATATATATATATATATATACATATATATATATATATACACACACACACACACACACATGCGGCGTGTGTTTGTGCTTTAGGGTGCACACCCTAATGCTATAGACTGCGCACGCCTATGTGTATGTGTGTCAGTGAGCATGTCTGTGTATGTGTGTCAGTGAGCATGTCTGCAATAAGCATGTATGTGTGTGTCAGTGAGCATGTCTGTAGTAAGCATGTATGTGTGTGTCAGTGAGCATGTCTGTACTAAGCATGTATGTGTGTGTGTGTGTCAGTGAGCATGTCTGTATTAAGCATGTATGTGTGTGTCACTGAGCATGTATGTGTGTCAGTGAGCATGTCTGTAGTAAGCATGTATGTGTCACTGAGCATGTCTGTAGTAAGCATGTATGTGTGTGTCAGTGAGCATGTCTGTAGTAAGCATGTATATGTATGTCAGTGAGCATGTCTGTAGTAAGCATGTATGTGTGTGTCGGTGAGCATGTCTGTAATAAGCATGTATGTATGTCAGTGAGCTTGTCTGTAGTGAGCTTGGGTGTGTGTGTGTCTGTGAGCTTGTCTGTAGTAAGCTCGTGTGTGCCAGTGAGCTTGTCTGTAGTAAGAATCTTTATGTATATCAGTGAGTTTGTCTGTACTACGTTTGTGTGTACCTGTAAGCTTGTCTGTGTCAATGAGATTGCCTGTCTGTGAGCCTGTGAACTTGTGTGCTTGTGTCAGTGAGATTGTCTGTGCCTGCATGTGAGTATGCTTACTGTATAATTTATTTTTTTTACCCTGAAAGGACTAATATTTATAATTAAAAAAGGAACATACCAATAATAAAAGTATATATATTTATATATCTTTTAGTGATAGTATTAAATATCCTGTTATAACATTTCAAATATGGCCCCATCTTGCTACCCCAGATTGAGTAATTCTAATTCATAAACATATATTATATATTTATCAAATATGTATGCCAGTCCTATAAGTCATTGTGCCACAGTAGTGTTTGTGTTGTGTATATATATATACACATATATATATATATATGTATATATGTGTGTGTGTATATACACACACACACACACATATATGCATACTCACACGCAAATACTACCGTGGCACAATAACTTATAGGGCTGGCATACATTTTTTTAGGGCAATGAAATCTGGCCCTGCATATGGCAAATGAAAGAGTTAGTTTATACTGAAACCAGACTTCCAGGCCACTTATGTGTGACTTCTCACACCTTACAAACTAGCTCTGCTGGGGTCCCAGCTTCAAAGAAGAATTAAGGTTGTATGCTCTGACCTCTCATACAATCAAATTAACCCCTTTTGAAATTAACAATACCACATCTACCAGGCAGCCAGTTCATATATCCAATGGACATGAGAGGGTATGCCCATCTGCCACATCAAGGCAGACCTCTAAGGTGGGTCCTAACTCTAACCATTCGCCTTGCTTCCTTGAGCTTCTGGCAAAAATATCTCTAATGAGACAGAAAGGGGTATTTTTTATATACATCCCTACATTATTATTATTATTGCCATTTATATAGCGCCAACATATTCCGTAGCGCTTTACAATATTATGAGAGGGGGATTTAACTATAAATAGGACAATTACAAAAAACGTACAGGAACGATAGGTTGAAGAGGACCCAGCTCAATCGAGCTTACATTCTGCTTATTAACCTTAATAGGGAGCACATGGGATGGACAGCAGCATTGCAACCTAGCTGTGTGATACAAAAGTGAATACAAATACAAAGAAACTAGTCCTGCGCTCAAACTCCCATTACTCCTGGGCGGCAACAATGACCATAGTACACATCAGCCAAAATACATATAGTAAAAACCAAAGAAAAAAGTTACCTGCGCTCTTTCCACATCCCTATGTATTTTTAAACAAATGGAGGTTTTTAGGTACCTCCAATGGCCATAAGAGGGTATGCCCACCTGCCACGTCAAGGCAGACCTCCTAGGTGGGTCCTAACTCTAACCATTCACCTTGCTTCCTTGAGCTTCTGGCAAAAATATCTCTAATGAGACAGAAAGGGGTATTTTTTATATACATACCTACATGCTACAATGGCCATGAGAGGGTATGCCCACCTGCCACGTCAAGAGTGATCTAAGAGAAGGACTGACTTAGTGAAGAGCTCAGGTATAGGTGTAGGATCTCTGATTTTGGTGTTGTTCCCAGATTATAACGGATAGTTGAAGCCCAGAATTGATACATTCTGCAGCTCCTTAAGCCATAAATCTAGGTTTCTATGCTGTCTTCATGAGCTTGAGTAGCACTTTTTAAAGATGATAGAGAGCATGACGGGATATAACAGGGGGTACCTCTGATATAAGATATCTGGACAACATCAAAACTATAAGGGGAATTAAAGAAATATGCATGATCAAGTAAAAGAAACATAGCCAAAAATATATACTTATTTAGCAAATTGTGTTCCTTGTGGGGCATCAACAAAATTTATAGTATGTCACCTCTACTCATCAGCTTGGCTGTGATTTCATTGACCTAGGAATGGCAAAGAGATCTGCATGGATGTGCAGAATAGCCTAACTCTATGTGGGGCATTACAAAGAGTGGGGTCAAGAACAGTCCTATTTGATTCAAAACGCCCAACTAATCTGGTCATAAAATTATTGTAGTAGCAGTAAATTTTATAATACAGCGCTACGGGATCTGATGGCGCAATATAAATAATAAAATAAAAATAATGAAAGGAACTTTATTGCCATCCATGTCTTTCCTTCTTGAGTTGGAATACACATGTCAAAAAACCCAATTTACTAAGATTGAACAACAGCTTGAGGTTCCTACATAATGACCCAAAATGTCCAAAAATAGATAGAGTCATAAGTCACTAAGATGGTGGTAATGTTTTCTACACAACCTCTACCTTCCCACATATAATCCACTAGCCCTGTAGCGTTGACCCTGGTTTATACATTGGTGCAAATATTAAATAACGGTACTAATGTCAAATGTGATGGCGTAGGTCACATTCCTGTGGGTGCAAACAAAGATTAATACCAGCACATCCTATAAACTTGAAAAAGATCCCTTGATTACTGAAACATTACCAGGTTCACACATTGGTGGATTAAATCTCCTGCCTTGAACAGACTGAGTTGGCAGATTTATGTTTGTCTACTTTACATTTCTGATGGGGGACTGGGGGTGCTGGAGGTCTCGTGTGGACTGTTTTGGAATGTGGCAGGGAGTAGCAATGAAATGTTAAAGTGATATAGGATAATTTGCAGGCCGATGCAATAATACCCAGGAATTAATCCTGAACTAGACACATTAAAACCTTCCACACCACTTCTTCCGTTATAATCTGAATCTCTATAAATTACCAACACATATTCAGATCCTGGCATGGCACCAATATTTGTTCCCGCAGACATGACAAACCTCGCAATGGATTTTCCAGCCAGTTATCAACACTACAGTAACGGAAATATCCTAAATACTTTCTGTCCTTGCCTAATATTTAACCCCCTTACCATCGCTGTTGTCTCTAGAGCCTAAAGATCGTTCTGCCCAACAAAGAGCAGAGAGGAGAGTTAACAGGAGCCCAGACGTCATCGAATCTCAGTCTTCAGCTCAGTCTTTGATGCACAATATTAATTCAGGGAAGACCCCTCAGAATTATTGGTGGAACCAGATTTACTCTCCCTCTGGCGAGGCTGTCAGAGAGCTTGAACAGCAGGGGATCAGGATACTGTTTGACTTTACTTTTTTTTTCTCTGGGAAAAAAAAAAACAATGGTTGCACAATCATGAAAAAAATAGCTTTCTGTAACAAAGTGAAACTTGGAGATCGAGATTAAAAAAAAAAAAAAAAAAAATACGACAGTGGAAGGGGAAGTTAGGCTAAGCAGTATTTTTGTGGTTATTTTGTTTGTTTTTACTTTGTTTTTCCTTCTGATGTGCAGACACATTGCTTTTCCATCTGGAAAGGGTTAAATGAACTTTGTCTCCTGAATGTCCCTGTACAGAGCGCTTGCATTGGAAGCGGTTACGGATATTTACCAGGCACGATTTGCTCTTTAAGCCTAACTGCTATTCACTACCCAGTGTAATATAGCAACTCAAAAATAGGAGGAAATTTTATTTGAATAGTCATTTACAAATCAGCAGAAACTCCTTTGAAAGGATGCAATGAGGTTAAAAAGAATCATAAACAAACACGTTCTGCATTAAAGGACCACTATAGTGCCAGGAAAACATACTCTTTTTCCTGGCACTATAGTGCCCTGAGGGTGCCCCCACCCTCAAGGTCCCCCTCCCGCCCGGCTCTGGAAGGGGGAAAGGGGTTAAAACTTACCTTTTTCCAGCGCTGGGCGGAGAGCTCTCCTCCTCCGATCCTCCTCTCCCCGTCGGCTGAATGCGCGCGCATTCAGCCGGTCACATTGGAAAGCATTCATAATGCTTTCCTATGGACGCTGGCGTGCTTTCACTGTGAAAATCACAGTGAAAAGCATGCAAGCGCCTCTAGTGGCTGTCAGTGAGACAGCCACTAGAGGAAATAGGGGAAGGCTTAACCCATTCATCAACATAGCAGTTTCTTTGAAACTGCTATGTTTATGAAAAAATGGGTTAACCCTAGAAGGACCTGGCACCCAGACCACTTCATTAAGCTGAAGTGGTCTGGGTGCCTAGAGTGGTCCTTTAATATCTCTTTCTGTGCAGAGACGGGAGCTTCGGGACGTCTTAGAAGCAGGTAATTCCTTGGTCACTTTTTTCACAATTAACCCCTTAAGGACACAGTTTCAGAAGATTGTCTTACGCTTAATGACACAAGCAATTTTTGCATTTTCTTGCTGTTTGCGTTCAACTGCAATTTATATATATAAATATATTTATATAAAGTAGACATCACAGGCTATTGTCCTAAGGTTGTCTTGACACTTTCTACGTGGCTATTTCACCGCCAACCTCTGCTAAATATTGGAGTAAAATTGTGTTTCTTTTGTTTTTTGGCACACAAACTTAAAACAAAGAACTTCTCATGAGTATTTTGTAAAGTTGGTGTGTGCTATTCCTGTACAAAACTTTATTTTGTGTTCAGCTGCATCTGCTGAGTACAACGATACCCCCATTGTATGTCTTTGGCACTGTGAAGCTACAGTGCCATGTAGGAAACCTGTCCTTTTCAATATTTACAGTAGAATTTTGAGAGACGGATTTAATGGGCCTATGCTTCAATTTGGAGTATTATAGCAGTTTGACACTCTAGGGTATCTCATATTGTGCATATTGTGCCTTAACATGCCCCCATTGTTTCACCAATATATGCCAAAGTATGTGGTAAAAAATAATTTGGGGCATTTTTTTTTTACATACGGATTACATTGTTGCTGGGCATTTTGTATATTTCATATGTGCCACTAAGTTCAAAACCCCAAATTATGCTCAGCTAAATCTTCTGAGTAAAACAATATGCCCAATGTATGACCTAGACACTCTTTTGTGAAGTTACAGTGCTGTAAAAGAGACATGACAAGTTCAGGTTTTTAAGTGTGAATTTTCATGGAGGGTTTTGATGCGTCCGTGTCCCACTTTGGAGCACTTGAGCAGGCTACATATTACAACTACACCATAAAGGCATACCATTTCTTAAAGAACACATCCCAGGGTATTTCAAAAGGTATATTTTGAACCTTCGCGTGGGATCATTTTCCCGCCAGCTTGTACCAAGTGTAGTGGTAATAAGCATTTTGTCTGCCTTTTTGACACGCAAAGTGAGTTTGCACAGTATATTTTGCAAACCTTATGTGTGCTACGACTGTATAATACTACATATGTTGCTCATCTATGTCATCTGAGTACAGCAATACCCCCGTATGCACCTTTGCCAGGTATATGTGGATGTTGAAGGGGCACATCTGAGACGCAGCCATTCAGTTTTTTTTTTTCTAACTTTGAAGTTTTACGCTGTGTCTATGTTCCATTTTGGAGTAGTTTAGATGGTTGGTTATTGAAACTTCCCCACAAACACATACTATTTATTAAAGAATACACCCTGGGGTAATGTAAAAGGCGTATTTTGAACCTTAGCGTGGGATCATTTTTTTCTCTAGTTTGTTCCAGGTGTAGTGGTAATGAGCATTTTTAAATGTATTTTTTTACTTTTTAAAACTTAAAGGACCACTCTAGGCACCCAGACCACTTCAGCTTAATGAAGTGGTCTGGGTGCCAGGTCCAGCTAGGGTTAACCCATTTTTTAATAAACATAGCAGTTTCAGAGAAACTGCTATGTTTAATAATGGGTTAAGCCTTCCCCCTAATCCTCTAGTGGCTGTCTCATTGACAGCCACTAGAGGCGCTTGCGTGCTTCTCACTGTGATTTTCACAGTGAGAGCACGCCAGCGTCCATAGGAAAGCATTGTAAATGCTTTCCTATGCGACCGGCTGAATGCGCGCGCAGCTCTTGCCGCGCGTGCGCATTCAGCCGACGGGGCGGAACGGAGGAGAAGAGAAGGAGGAGAGCTCTCCGCCCAGCGCTGGAAAAAGGTAAGTTTAAACCCCTTTCCCCTTTCCAGAGCCGGGCGGGAGGGGGTCCCTGAGGGTGGGGGCACCCTCAGGACACTATAGTGGTCCTTTAACTTTTTTTTTTGCTTATTATTTTTTTTAAACTTTCCTAAACTTTCTTAAAACTTAATTTTTTACAGATTTAACATTTTTATAAGCTTCTTTTTTACCGTTAACCCCTAACTAGCAGTAGGCAGCACTAACGGTAAATTCCCCAATTTTCCATAACTCCCACCCACCGCAGCTAGCAAAATATATCATTTTAAAATATTTAAATTAATGGAAATAAAGTGAACCCCTGAGGGTTAAAAAAAAATATATATGTTAACCCTAAGGGGTTAAAAAAATTTAAAAATCAGATCACAGTATAATATTTTGATCACTGTAGTAAGTGATCAACTGGCAGGGAAGGGGTTAATTTTTATTAGGACTGGATGGGATTTTTGAAACTTTTTTTAAAAAAAATGTTATTAAAACTTTAACATTTTTAAACTTTTTTTTAAACGTTAACCCCTAGCTAGCCTAACACCAAATTCCCCAATTCCCCACTAACTTCCACCCACCCCAGTTAGCAAAATATATTATTTTAATATATTTAAATTAATAAATAAAATAAAATTAAGCCTTGGGGGTTAAAAAAAATAAAAGTTGACCCTCAGGGGTAAAAAAAAAAAAAAAAGTAGATCACAGTTAAATGTATACCCTGCCAATTGATCACTGTAGTCAGTGATTAATTGGCAGGGAAGGAGTTAATTTTTTACAAACAATGGGTAAAGGGGGGTGGGATTTTAAATTAACTTTATTTTTATTTATTTTTTAAACGGGAAACAGGATCATCACTGATCCGTCTCCCTGCACTTCACACAGAGCCTGGAAGTGCAGGGAGGCGGAAGGTAGGTACATGCAGCACAGCCTGTCAGAGCGAGCACTGCTGCAGGGGCAACATGATCGGGTGCTCCCGGTCTGCCTCTAATAGGCAGACCGGAGCACCGTTAACCCCGTGATCGCCGCGATCTGGGGTTAAAATTAACGCGTGACGGACGAGGTCTGTCACCCGGCGTTAAGGGTCTCCCCTGGATGACGGACCTTGCCCGTCACCCGTCCTGAAGGGGTTAAAGGAACACTATAAACAAACATGTATTTCTAACGCTACAGCATCCTGCTACCTATTTATAGAACTGCAATCATAACATAACATTGCTGTATTGACTAAACGCCAGTGTTTTACATTGCGTGGGTAAAACTGAAAGGCCACTGTACCCAGACCACTTCATTGAGATAAAGTGGTCTTGGTGCCTGTAGTGGTCCTTTAGTTGGGTTTGGAGCCCAAGGGAACCCTGGCCCAATTTACACACATTACCATGTCAAGAGCAACAAAGTTTGTCCACTTTTCAGCCCCTGCATGGGATGAGTGCAGAGACTGGTCAATTTAGAAGTGACCCAAGATGTGTATATATTATTATTATTTTTTTTTTTTATTCATCTTGAAAAAAATTGAGTAAACAAAGCTAAAGTGGCAAAAGCTGTATACAATCTGATAATTTGTCGTGATTGGTACATTGGCCCCCTGTTAATTTGTGGAAATTACACCTTTATTTGGTTTGGAATGGGGGATTATGGGTGCAGATAGCAGTAGAAGGTGCCATTTTCCTTTTGATTCTAAGAAAAACACCCAACAACAAAAATAACACTTTTATCTCGACCTTGCACTTTAATAATAATTTTATGATATTTGTTGTTTTATTTTATTTTGCACATAAAATGACTTTGAAAGTCAAGTGGAGATTTATTTTCATCAATTTAGCAACTCTGGACCACCCGCTTGGTGGAAGGAGATCAATAAGGTGATAGCCTCAACCAGTGGAGGTACCCCAAAGCGCCCAACTTCTATACTTTGTCAGTGTATTTCCCGTCTTGCTGTACTTCTCTATATTTGGGGTATTTTGTCCCTTTTTAAATGCACAGCTGACTCCCAAATACTGTGTGTACCTTGCACTTTAATACTTATGCTTTAAGGAAAACAAGCCCGGATATCTTCATAAATAAATAGGATTGGGAATACAGCATCTTGCAGTCACAAAGTCTTTATTGGTTTTTTAGAACATGAGAACACAAACTTGTTTGTTTGTCCAACTATTTTCATAAAACTCACCTAAAACAACCGTTGCAAGCTCCAACAAAAATAATAACAAAACAAAATGGGACAAACAACAGATTTACAGTTCTTTCAATTGTTCTTAATTTCAAATAATATAAAATAAAATTGAGTGAGCGATTAAGAAAAAGAACCTGCAAACACATCATGGCGATGAAAGCTAAAAGTCAGGATCATGGGAGTTCTGGAGGACACGCAGACAGATCTAAACAAACATCTGATATGGCAGTGGGGGGATAGAGTGGGTAGGAAGGCATATATTAAAGGAGAAAATGGCATAACGAATCGTGTGACTCAGTAGGTCAATACATTTCAGACATTCTCCAGGTAGAGTCTCAAACTGTGCTTTATTTCATAATAGCCCAATACTAGATGAATGTTGGTGACAGCAGCAATTCTATGTGAGCCGTGAATAACATCAGCGATTAGGCATTTATATAATAAATTAAATGGATGCCCCATGGCTATACTTTGACTAATAGAGCTCCAACTTGAGATTTGTTTTGTAGAATAATCATACTATGATCTTACACTACTAGTTCCTAAGCTCAGCAAAGTGAGTTGATGGACATTCTAAAAAATGTTTTAGAATCCCACCTCTATTTCTCTGGGTTTCATCTTAAAGGGCTACACCAAGCACCATGACCACTTCAGATAAGTAGTCATTGAGTCTTGAGTCTGTATTGTCTATGAAACGCTACACATACAGAGATGTCATAGGGGTTCCAGGCTGGCCAATGTCAATTCTGTGTGACTTTCATTGCACAGAATGAGTCATTGTCTAAAGAGTGGTCAACTGATGCTCTAAGCCAGTGAATGCCAACCCTCATGGTTTCCTGCTTCTGGACCACCTGGCAGCATCGGAGACCAGCCGGACCCAGGTAAGGGTCACATTACCAGGTAATCCTGACTAGAGAACTCCTCATAACCACTACAGCTGAACGTAACCCCTTTAACCCCTTAAGGACACATTACATGTCTGACATGTCATGATTCCCTTTTTTTCCAGAAGTTTGGTCCTTAAGGGGTTAAACAAGTCGAGACACGGCTGCATGGAGTTGCCCAGTATTGTTTAAAATATGTATCTTTCACACCCCAACCACAGGGGGCCAAAATGGCCTCCTACTTAGACAAGATCGCCCTGCCCAAACTTACACCCGCTCAGCAGGACAGCCTGTCCGCATTGATAACAGAAACGGAGGTGATGAGAGCGATTGACTCTCTACCTTCCGATAAAGCCCCAGGTCCAGACGGGTTCGCCAACTGTTACTACAAGTACTTCCAAAGAACCCTAGCCCCTCACATTACTAATGCTTTTAATGAAGCAGCCACGAAGCACGCACTCCCGCCAGAAGCCCTCAAAGCTCATATCATTACATTGCCTAAACCGGGCAAGCCACCAATCCACCCACAAAATTTTCGACCGATATCACTACTGAACACAGACACAAAACTCTTCGCGAAAATATACGCCATCAGACTGGGCACGATCCTCCCACACCTGATAAGGAATGATCAAGTCGGATTCGTTAGAGGGAGACAAGGGGGGGACAACACGAGAAAGGTCATCGACATTATACATAGCGTCCACAGACAACATACAGAATGTGTAACGCTCTCACTAGACGCGGAGAAGGCCTTTGACCGCCTGAGCTGGAGGTTCCTGAAAGCAGTCCTGGATAAGTTTGGGATGCCGGGGGCATTCTGCTCGGCGGTGGAGGCCTTATACAGCAAACCATCGGCACAGGTAGTCACGGCAGGCTTCACATCGGAACCGTTTAGCATCACTAACGGAACGAGGCAGGGATGCCCACTCTCCCCCTTACTATATGTGTTGGCTTTAGAGCCGCTAGCAGAGACAATACGGGCCAACAGCTCCATACACAGAGTAACAGTGGGCGACAGGGAATACAAAATCAATTTGTTTGCGGACGATGTCATGTTGACACTAACGCAACCCCAAATTTCACTACCAAAACTCATGGAAGACATTAAAGAATACGGCCTTAACTCCTACTACAAATTGAATGTCACTAAATCCCAGGCTATGGGTGTGGGAGTCCAGTCTCACCGGCTGAAACATTTGAGTGAGCTTTTCTCATTCGACTGGAGGAAGGATTATATTACCTTCTTGGGCGTCCATATACCCCCCCACCTACCCCATTTGTTCAAGTTAAACTTTACTAAACTGATCAAATCATTTACAGACACACTACACACATGGGAGGGCAAATATCTCTCGTGGCTGGGCAGACTGGCGGCGATTAAGATGTCTATACTTCCCAAACTCCAATACCTGCTGCGCACAGTCCCGATTAGTCTGCCGGGCCAATACATGAGCACAATCCAAAAGCTGATCGTACGGTTTGTGTGGGCCAACCGCAAGGTGAGGGTGGCCAGCAAGCTCTTACAAAAACCGATCAAAGAAGGGGGACTGGGCATGCCCAACATCCGTTCTTACCATAGAGCCACATTGCTGACTGCCATAGCAGCGACAAACGCAGTAGAAGACCCCCCCCAATGGATCCACATAGAAACACACTGGGCATGCAAACAGGGGCTGCGACACCTATACCAGCTGCCGTACAAACTACGACCGCAGTACACAACCATGTTACCAACCACGGCAGCAATGATCAAAACATGGGACTCTGTGAGGGCATCACTGGGCATGGTCGGACCAACTATAGGGAATATCCCACTCACGAGCATCTCAGTGGGCATACCGACGTTTGACCACACCCCCTGGGTGAGAGGGGGATGTACCCACCTTAGCCAGATATGCGTGGACAACGAGTTACTGCCATTCCCAGCACTGCAAACCAAGTTCTCCTTGCAATCCAGACACATATTCCCTTACCTCCAACTGAAATCATTTGTGGCCTCACACTGCAAGGGTCCATGTGCCGAACCACCAAATATTGGCGCCTTAGAACAGATATGCCTACAGGGTAGTATACCCCAAAAAATCCTGTCGAAACTATATGCGCTACTGAATGCAGTAGATACAAACAGACACGGAGACTTTAGAGATGCCTGGCAGAAAGACATAGGACGCCCAATAGCAGACCTAGACTGGAAACAGGCATTCCAAATACACAAAGGGCACACATCATGCGCGACTCACTAAGAAACAATGAGGAAAATTATGTACAGATGGTATATGGTCCCGGACAAACTAGCGAAACTATACCCGGGAAGCTCAGGGGAATGCTGGAGGAGTTGCGGAGAAAGGGGGACAATGTACCACATTTGGTGGACGTGCCCGATAATCACTCCCTACTGGGAGATGGTGGAAGAGATAATCACTGACGTGATAGGCCGCCCTTACAGCTTGGGGCCTGAACAGGGCATACTATTCATGCATCTTGCCCAATGGCACAAGCAGGAAAGACAATTGATATTCCAAGTGCTCATAGCGGCAGTAACCCTGATAGCCAGACAGTGGAAACAACCACAAGCACCCAGCAAACACGATCTCCTAACACAAACATCCACAAACTGGGAATATGAGGCTATGGCAAATAAATACATTACAAATAACCACACGTTCATAGACACAAAAAACAAATGGGCAAAATACATTCAGAGAAGTTCACACCACTCCAGAACTCAGGACGCATAGGTACGCTAAGACACGAGAGATCGAGTAGAGAACCAAAGCTAGAGAGACGGGGAACGTCTCAGACTTGACCTGGGAGGAGGTCCTAACACATAGAACCGATGGTACATTGGAGGTAGAAAGGTAGAACTAGCAACTAGGAAACATAGGCCCAGAGGGAGGGCAAAGAGGAACACCATTTTCAAGAGGTCCACAAACTGAATCTCTTCCCCTTTCTTCCCTTAATTCTTTCCCTTCCCTTCTCTGCACACCCTACACCCCCCCCACACACAACTATCGAGCTACAACTTAATATGTATCTAGACAGCCGCTCTAGTGAGCACCCCGCTAGTAGTTCACGAACGCCTAGCCCAGATGCTACCACCAGGCAACCACATTACGCAAGGGGAGAAGAACCCAGACTCCCTGAAGGAGACCAGTATACAGGGGCAGGGGGTCGGCACAATACGCACGGGATAAGGGCGAGCAACACAACACACGTTTTGCAAAACTAATTTACCCGCTAGACGCTAGTCCAACCACACAAGTGGCGATATTACGACCAGCACTCCATACTACACCTGCGACTCCGAGAAAGGTAGCAAATACGGATTGGGAAAATATGAACGTTTAAAGTGTAATGGTTAAAATTGTATACGCTAGCATTGGAAATGTGGAACGCGTAATGTGTGATGTGAACTACATAATGTACGTATCCAAGGCAGAAAGTGTACGTGTAAACAACGTTGCCTAGATCCCTCCCCACCTCCCCTTTTTATTCTGTACCCCCCATATACTGCTCGTTTTTTTTTTTTTACTACAAACCAACTATTCTGGTGTCTGGTTATTTTTAGTGTTCAGCCAACATATTTTGTTTCACAGGATTACTTATAGATGTTAAAGAACATTTTCCATTCATTAGGACTTTATACAATGCTATACACTACTCCTATTTTAAGCTGCCTTCTGGGACGGATTTACATGTAAGGTGCCAGTAGGCACCAGATATGAAGATATCTCCTTGAAATGCACATTCATATACACACACGGACACATTCATATATACATACAGGTTCTTAAACACCAACACATTTATAATTACATCCACACCAACACCCCCCACCATTGAGGCCCACCCAGCCTCTCTGTTCTCAACCCCACCATTGAAGCCCATCCAGCCCCTCTGTTTTAACTTCCCAATACCATTGACGCCCACCCAGCCTCTCTGTTCTCAGCCCCACACCACTGAGAGCCACCCAGCCTCTCTGTTCTCAGCCCCACACCACTGAGAGCCACCCAGCCTCTCTGTTCTCAGCCCCCACCATTGAGAGCCACCCAGCCTCTCTGTTCTCAGCCCCCCACCATTGAGACCCACCCAGCCTCTGTTCTCACCTCCCCACCGTTGAGAGCCACTCAGCCTCTCTGTTCTCAGCCCCCCACCATTGAGACACACCCAGCCTCTCTGTTCTTAGCCCCTCACCATTGAGATCCACCCAGACTCTGTTCTCAGCCCCCACCATTGAGACCCACCCAGCATATCTGTTCTCAGCCCCACCATTGAGGCCCATGCAGCCTCTGTTCATCCCTGGTGTCCAGTACAGAGCTGTAGGTATCTCTCTCAATAACTGCCCACCTCAATGCAGCTCAGTACTGTTTCCAGGGCGGGGATGAGGTCATATCCCAGGTCTAACCTCAGTACAGGGTGCACAATGGAGATGGGAAATCAGTGCAGAGAGTTCCTAGCAGTCCCCTTGACGCACCGCAGTTGAGCATGACAGCCCCAGATCAAGAACCTATCACATGCCCCCCCCAAGGAAGGTGACAGTAGGTGAGTACAACAGTAGTAGTGGTGTACTTAGGGGTGTGCTAAGCACTGGTCAGTAAGGAAAAAGAACCAATATACTTGTAGGGTTATTCACTAAAGTGAATTTCAAATAATGTCGGGTTTACCATTTAACTACACAGCATCTAAAGTGAAGCTAGATAAGAAGACATTCAAGTCACCAGCATTTCATGAACGTATATAGAATGTTGCATGTTCAATAGATTATGACATTAATAGACTGTATAAGGGGACCAAGATGGACTAAAGACTTTAATAATTGCTGTACTAAAAGTAGAATATTCCATTGGCATATTCCTATACACAGGATCTGTATGTACGTTTTTATAAACATCACAAAAATACTCATAGAAAATTGAGAGAGAAAAAAATATAATGTATCACACTTCATGCAAATTTAACAAAATTAATGTCTGGTATTCACATGTGAAAAAAATAAATCAGTAGTTTTTTAAAGAAAATATAAAGGGAAAAAATAAAATAAAAATAATCATACAAATAGTGCAAAACCAGCGCTCAAACTCACAAGTTCAGTTATTTGCAAGCCCAATATTAAATAAAGAAGTCAATTCATTTCATGTATGAAGTATGTTCTTCCATTCCTGAGGGATTTAAAAGGCACAGCTGTTAATATTGCAAGCATCACCTGAATTCACACATGGCTATAGTCCACAGAACTGTACAAATGAATCACATCTTAACATAAAGCTTATGCATTATTGGAACAAACAAAATGCTGCAGGAAAAAGTTAGAAAAAAAAAATAGATTTCAGTGGCACTACCTTTTAAAAAAAAAAAAAACAGACTTTTTGATGTCTCCCATTAGACGTGCGTTGATTGGCCAGTATCAGTAAAAAACCTTAATCTCAAGAATCAAAAACAAAAACAAAAAAAAAATTCCCCAAAATACACACCCTCTCATCCAAAATGAGAATGACACTTGCCAGGCTGATACTTGTTTGGGGGTACGCCTTTAGTGACTGCCTAATTTACTGTAAAATAGGATTTAGACCAACTTTATACAATCAAATGTAGAGTTCTTAGGAACGTCCTGCATTTAGATCCCTATTTTCAAATCCCCTCTTCCCCTGAAAAAACACTGTAAAAATAAGATGCCCTATATACAAACAGCACTTTATTTTGTAGCTGAGACGGCAGCAGACTTAAGTCAGATTATTGTCAGGATGCTATAATAGAAGATTATTCTTTTAAGCAATATGCTAAGATTTCCTTTTTATTAATCAGCATTTACTAAAGGTCTATCTGCATTTGTGTATTTATGTTTTACAGAGGTTAAAAGGTATTATATTTAAAAGTGTATTAAAGTGCTTTTTGTGCTAAAATTTAAATGATCTTGTGGCTCCAAGAAGCAACGAGACTCATTCAAACATTAGAACATAAAAATAGGTAAGTTAAGAAGTTGTGATACAGTACGCGTCACAAATATGATGTCATTTTCGAAAAAGGATTTTTTTTATAACCGAGAAAAAAAAAAAAAAAATCAAAAAAGGTGAAAGTGTATGGGTTATGCAAACATGACAAGGTATTGCCTTATAGACTATATAATCTGACCTTGTTTGTACCAGAAAAATTATACAGATAAATATAATTTAAAAACCATGCCCATTGTACCTTACTAGAAAATGAAGAAATCTTTATTTTTAAAACAAATGTAAGAAAATTTGTGTCATAGATGTAGGTTCATTAGGACGCAACTAGCTCTACCAATGTGAAAAAGAAATAAAAGAAAATAATTGTGTTACATCAGCAAGTTGATTAAAGTCACATACATATTCCAAAACCTTGTGCAGTAGTTTCATTCATCTCGTAATGTGAATGAAACATCTGCCAAGTACCAAACTGCTCCTGGGCTCATTGCGCACAAGACGAGAAGAAAAATGGCTGTAAAGTTTCGGTCACCTAATAGTGTGAGGAAAATCTTGGGTATTATTTGCCCCTTTTCTTCCTTTTTTTAATGCATTATCTATATAAAACAGAATAAAACTGGGACTCTAGTTCCATCTGGAGAGACCCAGTAAGGATCAATGATGCAATCAAATATTTTAACAATCCTTAAATGCAATGCTCCACTCATTTAATTAATGTAGCATTGTATACATCTATAAATGTCAATTAAGCCCTTAAGGACACATGACGGAAATATTCCGTCATGATTCCATGTTATTCCAGAAGTTGTGTCCTTAAGGGGTTAAGCAAGACATTCTACATTAACACAAGGTCTTTACTGTTAACACCTTGTGTTACGCAATTTATTTTTAATGTGAAACTACTCTATTTTTATTTATTTAATTTTAAAAAGTTTGGACATGTAATCTTTAGCAAATTAAATATACACTTGTTTGGAGCGGATTTCTTTTTTCATATTCAGGTGAATTTTCTTTCACACAGATTACAATGACAAACAGCAATAACAAAACTAAATATTATTATCAAGCTCATTAAACACCTTCAAAATGCACTCAAGTATATTGAAGATGTGTACTGATATTCAATATAAGGAGTGGTAAAAGTACAGTTTGAGTATTCAGTAGTATTTTGGTTGCGCAAGTTATTCAATAAAAAAAAAAAACACAAAATACCATCAAACATTTTACACAGTGGAGGGTTAACGCTGTCCTAATAGTATTTAGAGACATTTGAAAATAAGATACTTTATAGCAAGAGTGTTATTCTTCAGCAATTGTCCCACCCCCCCCCCAAAAAAAAAAACCCAAACATTGCAAATACAAAATAATTATAATAGTAAATTAACGGCAATGTGTCTTTGCTCTATGTACAGTCTTAATAAAAAATAAATATGCCGCTTATTTACCATTTTGTATTTTCAAATATATCCATGTGCAAATATAAAATCAAAAAAATTTGTTTAAAAAAAAAAAAAAAGTTAACTGTAGCCAACTTAATAGTATATCCTATTTGGAAATTCCACATCTTGTTTTGGCTCTATGAATATGCTAAATCCTTTTTTTTTTTTTTTTTTTTATCAACTTTGTTCAACACAGTAAATTTCAAATAACACTTATTTTCAGAAAATGAGAGGGAAGCAATTTTCTGGAGGGAAGCAAAAAGTTCTCCCTTCCCAAAAACACCAGGGTCTCTTGATAGATCATACAAGGCTTTTCTGACCCACAGAAGTATCATGCATTTTAGCTAGTACAAATGAAATGAATGTCACAAATATGAAATTGTACCAAAACAATTAAGTTGGCTGGGAAAGACTGACATCAGAAGATTTTAAGTTCTGAAAAGGATCTCTTAAAGTGTAGCTAAATCTCAGGGAAAATTATGTTTGCAAATAAAAAATAAAAAATAAAAAAATTAAAACATATTCAGATTTCAGTTGTACAAAAAACAACAAGAAATTTCACTGTGCAAGCTTGTAAATAAACTATAAAAGTTCCACATCCCAGCCGGCCTGTTTGTCAAAGTCTTCCTCTGCACGTTTATAACGAACTGAAGAAAAAAATGATGGACTCCGTTTTTTGTAGCAGTAAACGGCCAGGGCAACGACAAGTAGGAAGATCACAACCGCAGCTAATGCAATAGCCAACCCTTTTCTGTTCGTTCCTGGAATAAAGAAAATTAATTGATTAGGCAGCAAAATAAATAGACCCTCTATGCATGTACTAACTAGTCTAATAGGTACAGGATGCATAACTTTCTCAGCTCAGCTTGTATCTTTCTAAGATTCACAGATTCATTTATCTAAATGTAGCAGTTTTGGTGTATATATCATGCCCCTGCTCGCTCACTGCTCAATTATCTGTCATTTAGGAGTTGAAATACTTTTGTTTCCTTTTATGCAGCCCTAGCCACACCTCCTCTGACAGTGACTCACAGCCTGCATGGGGTAAAAATGGTTTAATTTTCAAACATGTTAACTCGGTTTAAATGTTTTTTAGCACCTGTAAATTAAATCTCACACAGAAGGCTTCTGCATGGTCTTTAAGGCTATTAACAGAACAGGAAATACAAAATTCTAAATTAAACAGACTGTGCAATACATGAACCTAAACTTTCTAGGTTCTTTTTGCAGGAAGTGTTTAGGAAGGCTGTTAAAGTCACATGCAGAAAGATGTGACTAGTGCTGCATAAACAAAGTGATTTAACTCCTAAATGACAGAAAATTGAGCAGTAAGACTGCAGAGGCATGATCTATATACCAAAACCGCTTCATTAGGGTGTTTTGGTGTCTATAGTTTCCCTTTAATTGTTGGACCTTTTCTTTAATTTTTTTGGTCACTGAATAATTCCAACCTGTTCTAGTTATTT